ACTTCTAAATTCTAAATTCAGTATAAAATCATCCATCTGAAATATTTATTGGAACCTTGGAGCGTGAACATATTGCATAAAAGGGCAATATCAGTCTGTCCTTTGATTATGGAAAATTATTTTTGCTTCTCTGTATCCATGGTAACCGAACGTGTGCCTCTAATCTTTATCCATAATAAATATAAAGGAAATTTTATGGATGTATCTGTGTTTCATGAAATCTTAAACCACTCAAACGAACATGTTATACAAGAACAGGGTTTTCATTATGTTTCAAACATTAATTGAATTTTACCTAGCCGTATAAACTCGCAAATTCTATGTGAATGGTCGTTCTCTAATCTTATTTTAGTTGATATATGTGAAATAATTAACATCAATAGTCGTATCGAAGGATACAAACGTTACCAGCATGCTGCAAAGAAAAAGTCGGGAACGAGTTCATGGTGCGCGCAGTAGTATGTAAAAATTCTTGAAAGTTTTTATAGTTTTAAATGATGACATTAAAATTTCCCACTAAGGTGGACGTTTTTTTTTTTTAATTCCCTTCGCACATTATTTATTTGTAGTTGTTTTTATTAAAAACTCAAACTTTAATCAATTATTATTGACTTTATTTAGATTTGTAACACATGTTGTATGATAGGAAATTGTATAGATGAAATTTTATAAATATTTATTTAATACTTAAAAATAATATTTATAATAAAATTTCATTATAATTTATTTACATATTATTATTATTTATTTTTACAATTACTTACCAACAAAATTACATTAATATCACATAATATAGTAATTTTACTCATTATAACCACATATGAATAAAATTATATATGTATCCATAAAATGTTGTTTAAAATACTTTAATCAATGGCGTACATTCATATCTATTCTGGGCGGGAATAGGGATATTGCCAAAAGAAAAGTAACCATGTTCTACTTGAACCATTCCTTTATTTTTTCTGATCATCGCTTACCAGCTTATCACGTGCAATATTAATGATATAAATTAATCACATTTGTATTATTATTATTATAATTATTATTTAATGCACTAAATGCTAGCAATTCGAATAAAAAAATATTTTAATATCGATATGATAGTAAAAAACTATTGCATGTTTGTATTTGTAATTTTTTTTTTTTTTTTATTCCGATCATATATTATAGATGACAAATCTTCGTTCGTTCGCAGTAGTGCGTTGTCGGTCTTTTCCGTGCCTTTTAGCCATACATTTTTTTTACGATTATAAATGTAACTTTCATAAATATTAACCTAATCATTCACGAATATTCACGTTAAACCTATTGCGATTTTAAAAAACAATCAAACGGGTTTACCAATTCTGCGAGTCTCTTAAGCGTGTATTATATCAACGCAAATGATTTCTGAGTAAGTCATCGATCATTGCATGGGTTGTTGAGTTAACAGTTATAGGTTTCCGGCCATAGTTATCCTATTGCTGCAAATCTTACTCTAAAATAATGTTGTCTGTAACCCATATTACTTGCTGTAATTTTTTAATTAGTATTTGAGAATGATCTGATTAAATTGGAATTATGTATGTTCGATTAGAGTTAATCCTGTTGGAAAACTATCCTATCCTATGAATTTCAACCTACCCCAAGCCTATCCTCCTCAATTGGCACCGTTATTATTATAATCAGATTGTAAATTCATACTTATCTGTCTGATCAACGATAAATACGTTAACATGTGTAGATGTAGTTGCCTACATGATTATATATTGCGGCGTGCAACATAGGTATTACCGACTTAATTAAATGCAGGCGTGCGTTGAGTTTTATAGGCAACATAATCTAGGGACATTGTTGATAGAGTTTCTAATTCAAATATTAAATATTTTGTTATTTTGTTAAATCGAATTTTGATCCTTTGTCTTCTCTACGGCCGTTTGTACGATGAAAAATTCGCTTACTTTCAATATGACACATTCTTTAAAACAAAATAATATAATACAACGGACACATGTATAATATTTGAGTTTATTTTCAATTTTTAAAATGGCTTGTTGACATATTGCAATCCTTGTCAATAAAAGGATGTGAATCAAAATAACTATATGACCGAATACAAAAACGAATTTACGCGATTTTTAAATCTATATATGTTAAAAATATAACAAATAATTAATTCAAATTCAACCAAATTTACAAAAACCGTTTATTAAATTCAAATAATATTATTCGAATACATATGGAAATGTGTTTTCTGGATTAAATTTCACTCCTTCTTTATCTGTCATTTATGTCCCAGATAATGAACGGTCAAACAACCCTTTTGGTTCTTATAAGATATTTATTTTTTATTATAAATTTTATAAGGAAAATCACTGTCGGACCACGAGATGTACGCAAGTACACGAGTGTAGGGATGCTACATAATCCAGTCACGGCAGCAAAAATGACGGTGGTCAACAGCGAACGAGCTGACAAATGATTTACAGCAACAAAACGTCCTGCAAAGTATACTAAAACCCATGCAACTTATTGTGCCCATCAGTCGATTTCGTCCTGGGGCCAATTCGTATAAATATATCGTGTCTCGGACGTGCATAAGATATATGTTCAATTTTATCGATGTGTTCGGCTAGAACAAGTAACTGCACCCATGCAGTTTGAGCCTAATTCCTCAACCCAATGACCGGGCGTAAGAAATGACCTCCAAAAAATGACGAAACGAACTATGACAAAACTAAAGAAAAAAATCATAGTTTTTAATTAAATCGGTCAAAATTAAAATATCGGGTTTGAGTAATTTTTACTGCGATAAGTTACCAATGACAAAGCTATAAATATTTTAATACAACCTTAAACCTTAAACAATTAATAATATGTAATACATATTGTACGCCTATTATGATAATTGTTTATTATTTATTTTTAAAATGTACTCCATGAGGCATTACATTATAATTGGTTTAAGTTGTTTTAAACATTAATTTGTAGTTTCTCGATTAATTTTGGTATGAGTATTTTATAGTTAATCGTCCTCTTCACAATTATACAACACAAACAAGGCTGTAGTGAAGGGTATACGTCCTATACCTTCTAGATTTTGTGGTGCACTCTCTATTATAGTTAAAGTGGTTATGTTCAATTTTAGATGATATGATTTATCAATTGCTTAACTATATTTCAGTACTAGTATCTAAATTAAATACAACGGGTAATATTTAATATAGGACATTAGAATCTCGAACAATTAATCGACGTTTTGATGTTAATGAAATTCAAACTGTTCGAAAATTAAGAATCTTTATTGAAAATAATAAATCGATTTCTGAAAACTGAAAGCTCATTTTAAATGACATTGCATTATTACCATGTTCGACAGTTAAGTGCAAATGAAGATTTAGCTTTATAAATAATATTATTACAACTTTAGGAGCATCACTTTTAATTTCAAACGTATCTAATTAATGTTTATTAAGTCTAACAGTCCACCTACTGAAGTATTTAAACCAAAAAATGCACGATCATGGACGGAAGAGAATTGTTTGATTACCAGTTAAGAATTATAAATAGTGTTGAGATTATCTATATAAATTTATCTCGATAAATAAGTATTGTGTGGAGGTATATGTGCAGGACTGTCGAGAGGAGGGTATTGGGAGGGATTATTTTACCACAGACCCTAAACTATTGATGGTCACAACATCAATTGCTTTTTTTTTTTTTTTTGTTAACTATGGTAGAGTAAGCAATAACTAAAATAGATGTTGTTTTATTAAGAATAATAATTGTTGATAATCAGTGCGACTGTGCGGTGCGACATGGTCGTGAACTAGCCGCAATAACCATAGATTTAAACAATATCATCAAACATGGTATTTCTCTCATAAAAATATAAAATACTAATTTTGAGCTTGAATGTTATTGTTGTATCACTTTTCGACTGGGGACTAAGCAAAAACGATCATAAGTAAGTAACAATTTATATTAAACACTGTTCCTACCTACAGTACTTATACAGTAGTAAATTCTGTGGTTGTAACCTATAATACTAATATACTATAAATTTTAATAAACTATAATACTATAATACTAAAAAGACAAGAGTTTATACAATGAAAAAAACGATATTGAATTATACATTTATAATTGAAACCATGAGTTTTTCCAACAAATCATGTAAAACCTCTTTATTTTAATTATATATAATTTAAATGCACAGTTTCAATAATATGTGTAAATTTCTAATATTTTATTTAAACCAATATAATTTTATTTTTTTGGAGGGGGTTAAAATCTCATAACTATCCCTGGTTTGCCACTGTGTAGGTCCCATGTTTTAAATTATTATAGGCCCCACTATACTTCATAACGATATATATGTATGTGTGTGTATGTGTGTGTGTGTGTGTGTGTGTGTTTTTGTATTATATATGTTTTCGGTTGTTTGACAAGAATACAAGATTTTCTCAATAAAAAGTACCTATACTGTATGGGTAATTAATATTAATTAATATTTTAAAATAAACATTAAGTGTACTACGACTGTGTATTATTAACTCGTAATTTGTTTTTTTGAATAAACATAAGGATGTTATTTCATAAACTTCGCTAATTGACTATGCTTTTTTTTTTATTAAATGAACATGAGCACGTGAAAGTATTTCTAGTTTTTGTACAATAATAAGATATAATATATATGTATTAAAATCGATTTTATAACAATATAAAATTTGAAATGTATGAATTATATTGAAAATAAATATACATAGTGCATACCTATTTTATAATATACCAAAGAAAAAATATTTATATCCATAATCAAAATATTAAATACGCCCAAGAACTTTAAATGTGATAAATTAAGTAACCACAATGTTGCATACCATACAATAAAACATTAATATATAATTTCTTATTTTATGTTTGTTAAATATAGCAATTATTAATTCTAATTCTAATTTTCCAAACCAATGAAATACTAGTCATCTAGTTTTGTTTCAAACTTGAAGCTCGTAAAATGAAAATAAATTTCCTTTGAATTCTGAAAACTGTATTGAGAGTATTGTAGATCATTCAGTTGACAGGATGTAAATATATTATTTGTTGTACCCATATTGTTTCATTTCTAAAATAAAAAAGGATTTTATTACTTGAGAATGCATACAAATTAAAAAAATAACGTTTATATGGTATAATAGTAAAATTTATAAGAATAAGATAATTCATAAAAAATTTAACTTTCTATACATTATTAAAATGAAACATGTAACTACATTATCTACATTAATCTTTAAATGGTTCGCTATACACCTATTAGAAAAGCGAACAAAATCATCTTGTATTTTTTTGCAATCATCCATGGAATTCTCTACCATATATATCTTAAGGTCATCCGCAAAAAAAGAGAATTTACAGGAACGGAACACATTTTTTACATCATTAATAAACAACAGGAATAACAAGAGGGATAAATGTCCACCTTGTGGGACACCTGACAGAATATTAAATGACGACGATAATTGATCCAATATTTTGACCTGTTGGGTCCTACCCTTTAAAAAAGAACCAAACCATGATAGTAAAGAACCACCCACGCCAAGATCATTAAGATTTTATAATAACAAATCATGGTCAACTAAATCAAACGCTTTGCTAAGGTCGGTATTAATAGCGTCGACTCGCCCTCTTTTTTCTATGGTAGCGTATAAATTTATAACGTACACTAATAAATTGGTATAAGTTGATTTATAAACTCGAAAGCCATGCTGTTCATCTATAATAAGTCTGTTAAATGCACAAGAAAGTTTTGGTTCAATTATTTTTTTCAAAAAGTTTTGGTAAAAAACTTAATTTTAAGATTGGGCGATAATTTTTTATTGAATTCCGGTTGACAGATTTAAAAATAGGTAAAACAAAACTAGACTTACATAGATGGGGAAATATTCCTTGAGTAGAGACATATTAAATAAAGTATGTAAAGATGTATGAAGCATAACAACACTTGGATAAAATAATAGGAGGTAGTTCATCCGGTCCATAAGTCCTATGCAGGCCTATATTTGAAAGACCTTCAAAAACCTCAGACAAGGATATATATAAAAATGAAACGTTTATTGTGAATTCTGGTAACACTTTAGGAAACTGCTGGACATTGAAAGGTTGAGAGTTAACGTAAACCGAAGAAAAATAATCAGCAAATGCATTGGATATTATCAAAATTTAATTCATCATAGAACATAGTTTAAGGAATTAAATTACCGTTATTCTTTTCTTTAACAAAGCACCAAAAATGCCTAGGATTAGTAGTAAGACTAGCTTGAATATTACGAAGATAGCGTTCATAACACCGTTTAGAAAAGTATTTATTTTAATTATTTAATTATTATTTATTATTTATTTAATTATTTTTCATTTGGCACGAAGTTCCGAGAAATATAAGTAAGTTGATGGATTAAGATTTATTTTATAATGTTTATGCGCTAGACGTTTTTCTTTTATTAATCTTCATAAATTACCATCAAACCAACGAGGAAATTTAGAATTAGATAATTGATAAAAAGGCATATACTTATCTAGGATTGCATGTATTACTTTATAAAATCTTTCCACGATAGTGTTATTATCAGTATTGAAAAACAATTCAATCCAATTAACATTATTTAAGGTCATATCTATACTAAATTTATACTAAATTATTTTTACCTTCGAAATAATGCTCTTTGTTCAAGAATTGTCGAACCCAAGTAACTGGTTCGAATTCCAGAGTTCCTTTGAAATACTTAGGTAAAATACTGGGACTTAAGTATTTATGCAACGAGTTAAAATTATTTCCATGAAAATGCACCTTAAAAAGAAACTTTTAGTTTTAATAAAAAAAAAAAAAAATTATAAATTAACTAATGAAGAAAAACAAAACTAACTAACTAACTAGGGCCGTGAAGTTAGCATTACAATGTTTGCAGAACAGTTCAAAAACCCCCCAACAATGTTCAAATAGACTTGTTGAACATTGTTGGATACTTGTTGGAATTTGTTAGACCACACATAACTTTTTATTTAAAAAAAAAATACATATTTCAGTCAGTCCAGGAATAAATTAAAACTATTTTTATTGTTTTACTTTGAAAAATTAGAATGCATACAAACCACAGCAGTGGATTATCATTATATAGTTTTAATTTAAGTTCAAAAATCTAATAAATTAATTTAATACTTTACTTTACTTTACACAAAGTACACAACTTTATTTTATATTTTTAATTTGTTCCTGGACTGGCTAAAAAATGTAAACATATTTTTTAAAACAAAAAATTATGTGTGGTCCAACAAATTCCTAAAAGTATTCAACAATGTCCAACAAGTCTATTTGAATATTGTTAAGAGGTTTTTGAAAAGTTCTACTAATGTTGTAATGCTAACTTTACGGACCTTAACTAACCCGACATTTTAATTTTTCTTTTAAAAATGGTTTAATTATTGAATACACCGTGTATAAGTATAAAGGTTCATTGATAAAATGAAATCCTTGAAATCTTAATGGAAAATTTTCCTGAAAATAAAAAACAATTTGAATTTGTTATTATTTATTATATTTCAAACAATAAAACGAATTATGGTTATAATATACGCTCTCATTTTAATTTATTTAAATAAAATAGTGCGCAAATATTTTTATATTTTTATTTGAATAATGCTGTGATTATTAAATCTATCTATATTACATTTTAAGTAACTGTTAATTGCATAAAATATGGTAACTCGCTTCGTGCAACAAAAACCTATTTAGTTGTTTTTTATTTAAAGTAAAAATACATTGAATATGAAAAATAGTTCTTAAAATTATATATGACAGTAATACATATTTTATGTCATATTACATACCAATTTAAATCCTTATAAATGATAAACGACAAAAATGTATAGGTTTTACCAAACATTTGATAATAAAAAAAATTACAAATAATCGTGTTATTATTAAATTAATAGAGCATAGGACTATGCAATTATTTTCCCCTGTAATAATCAAATATTTGAATAGTTTTCGATTATAGTCGCACAGTTCAAGTAGAGCTGCGTCGTTGCTGACATTAGACGTCACTATAATCGCTTTCATTAAAGAAAAAATATCTAAAATATAAAAATATAATATTCATAAAAAATAATAATTATAACTATTATTATAAAAATAATATAATATATATAAAATAATAGTATATCCAACTACATGATAAAAACAAATTTTTCTTGGAGGATTGATATACATAATTATCTATTATTAATTTTTCTTGTAAAACTAATAATGAGGAAAAATTATACAACAAAATGAGTTTTATCGTTATCAAATTTGTTATTCAGTGAAAATCTAAACAGACTTAGATTTGAAAAGATTATTTTTATTTTAAGGTAATTTAAATATTTGCATATTCAGTTCCAAACATTTTTACATATAAATTAGTTATAAGTAATCTATTTAATAAAAATGAAAACTATTATTACATCTCAAGTACTTCTCAAAAATTCATTTTAATTTTAACAACAAAAAGGTCGAGTATTTTCAATATTATTGCAGGTCCAACATAATTTTTGTACAGTTAATACAAATGAAAAAAACCAACTGACAATTTTGAAAACTTCATCAACAAAACAAGTTTTTATTACAAAAGTTATCTTCACTGCAACAACAATATAAACCAATAAATTATACAATTTATATTTTTTCGATAACAAAACGCTACTTTCTATTGAAATTTTCCAATATTATTACTATGTCTCTGAATGGCGAAATCTTTGTAAAAAACAAACCATTGGTTTTAAATTTAGGATTTCTTTATACATTTCTGGTGGAATTCGAGCTTAAGAATCATTCTATCCTTTGAGACTTGAATAATAATTATACGTAGATATCTAATTAAAATTATTATTCAAGCCTCAAAGGACTTAAACGTAGATATCTACTTTAAGATAATTTCAATCATCATTTTCAAAAATGTATTCGAAAAATGTATTAGTAAATTATTGAAGAAGAAGAAAAAAATAGATGACAAAAACACGCGAAAACTTTTATATACGTAATACATTTTAGTGCTTAATATTTGTAGAGGCTTGACATTTTTAACGATAACTTATTCTATTAGAATGTGGAAATTCAATTTCTAGTTTTGAGTAGGGCCTGAAATTGTATTACTTGTGACCTTAATATTATTACATTTATGCTACAATATATACTCGTATTTCAAAAATCGTTATTGATATATTCTTGAAAAATGATTTTAACACACCATTCTACAAAAAATATATAGTAAACTGATATACTCTCAGAAACCGTTTTATATGATTCTGTATTTTTAATATAATTTCAGATGTATACAACTATTATGTAACACTAACGTACAGCGCTTTATAACTGGAACTGACGCGGTGTTTATTTTTTAATTCTTCTTGACATTTTCGAAGTTTATACTCAAATTTCACCACTTTTTTCATGTAGAACTATGACGTTTTTTTATACCCCGATTAAAAACCTGGCTACTTTTACAAATTAAGGTTTACCATTATTTTTTCGCACCAGTATATACAATTTTTAAAATGTAAATTTCAAAATATTTGATTCTGAAGTATTAACCAGTATAACTTTTGAATTGCTTTATTTTTATTTTTTTTTATTTATAATTATTTCCTATGTTACTTTTTCTATATTAGAATTACTCAATACTTCTTTTTCTTTCTGGTAAACGGCCGCCACTAGGACCATCCTATCAAACACCCTTCTCTCCCACCATCTCTGTCGGATGATCGTTCCTTTCAGTCAGATCCTCTACCTGAGGCGATTACATATTTTTTAATCAGATCTTCCCTTCTTATGTGAGGTCTTCTCAGAATAACTTAATACACGGAAAAAAATATAAATTTATTTCTATTGCACTTATTTCGAAAAACAATAATTGAAATTTCAACATATTTAAAAACGATACCAGTACAGAATTAGCAATAAGGGTTCATATTTAGTAATACAGTACGAAACTAAAGACTTGAAAAAAATTATAATTAATCATATATATGATTTATTAATTGTATTTTGGATACATATAAAATCTAAGACGATTATGAAAATTATTTTCTCTTATTTATAACTAAACAAAATCTAATTAATAGATGGTTTGTGAATACATACGAGTTAATTCATTTTTTTTCCTAAAGAATCTCAAATAAGATATTTTCATTAAGCATTCAATTGCTTTGAGTAAGGATTTCAAAATAGTTGTGTTATTTGAAAGTAATGATAAATTATTAAATTTTAAAAGCAATTTCTAATCATGAAAACTTAAGATACATATAATTCTTAATGTTGTAAAAAAATGAGAAAAATCAAATTATTGCTTGAAAATACACGATTTGAATTTTTAAATAATATTTATGGTTCTATTCCTGTCTTATAATCCATAAATTAAATAAATACGTGAAACTTATAGTTTTATTTCATTTTTTCTTTCACAAATTTATGATAAATAATAATAGTACAATTTGCAATGGCATCTTGATTATATTTTATTTATTTCTACAAATATATCTTAATTATCTCTATCATGTAGTGTCTATATTAATATAAATGTACAGTTCTTGTATCATATTTTTCATCGAATTTAAGTTTACTTAATTCCCAGTCGAGTCACATATAATATAAAGTATTCAAACAAACCCAATATTACATTTATTATTACATTTTAAATTTGTAAGAGTTATTATGAAAATTAACGTTGAAAATAAAAGAGGAAGAGGAAGACCAAAAAAAAAAAAAAAAATTGGATACGATTGATAATGATATGAGGGCCGCTGTAGGAGAAAAACTAAAAAAATCAAATCATAAATTTACCTTTTTTATTATGTAATAATGTTTATTAGTTTCATTAAATACTCATATTGTGATTAATAAAATATAATTTTATTGAATAAAAATAAATCAAAGTAAATTAAGAACAGATTTTAAAATAAAAATGCATAACATTTCATAAACGGTTTGAATAGGTACATAAAAGAAAATTAAAAAATATGTTTTACTAACCTGTACAACTTCTGCAGATTTTTTAGCGTAATAAGGTGATAAATATTGATAATGTTTCAGCCACTCAAATCCAGTGAAGTCTGCAACTACAACTATACCAGCCAGCTGAGTCTCCGGGTCTTCTGATATAACTTCAAGGATCATCAAGTTAATTTTAAAAATATCTTCAATTCTGATTTCAGGTGTAATGTTTTCTATAGCAAAAAAAAATATAATTATAAACATTGAATTTACCATCTGTTTTATTTTTTTTATTAATACATTATTGCATAAAATAGCCTGGAGAATATCAAACTATATAAACAATGGTTTTATTCTGAATATGGATAAATGCTTCCAAATAATGTTCACAATAAGTAAACAAAACTTTATATTTTCAAATAAATATAAATATTTAATTAAATTTTGTTGCTCTTTGTAATTACAAATATTTAAAAATTGTAGTTCTTTATTTTCAATTTTGTTTTAACTACAATTTATTTTGTAGTTGTTTATAATTAATATATTGTTACTGTTGTTTTTGTATTACTGTTTATTTTCGTATGTAAAATTTATATCAGTACACTATTCCCAACGGACATTTATTATTCATAAAAAAAATTTTTTTAAAAATATCTCTCTGAATATTTGTATCTTAAATTAATTTTAGTAACAAATAATAATTTATAGATTAAGTTTACAAACTTCGAAATCAAACAATTAATATAATGATTGAACAAAAAAATAGAACAAATATTAGTTCAATAAAATTATAATCAACATATTAAAATGTAGAGCGATAGAAAACATAATCCAAAAATTATATTATTCGAAATATTAAATACAAAAGATTTTATATTGTGTAATAGTCTACAGTTAAAATCATAACATTCACCTATTCTAAAAACATATATTTCTCGTCCATGGTGATCTCTGTTGGGTAACATAAAAAGTGTTCCAGTTTCTAAAAATACTTTGTACTTCGATGGTCCATTTAAAGTGAATAATGAACTCTTGTCTTTTGCCCCATAATAATTTTGAACCTATAAAACAAAATAAATTCTCAAAAAACTATAAAATGTTCAATCACTGTGTTTAAATGTTTTTCGTTTATTATTGAAATTCAAATAAAAATGTATTAATATAAATGTATATATATAAAGGTGAATGCGTGCTTATTATATTCAATGTTTATTATAGTTAAAAGTAGGTAATTTATATTTATATTAAATATTTTTAATAAAAACTGTATTTGTATTACATAGTTTTTTTTACCTAATCTTCATAGAACTACAATGTTAATACGTATTAGTTAGTTATAAAAATATTAAAATAAACTGTAAAATGTATTATATAAATAAAAAGACCTTTTTTTATGAAGCAATAATTAATTTAAATTATGAGAATATAGTAAAAGTAAACTTTTAACATGAAGTATTTTAATTAATATACTGCATTTTATTTTAAGAACTTACCAATTTAAATGCTTTATCAATATTGTACTTTCTAGCTCTCAAAAATTTAAGCATGAACGCATCATCAATTCTTGATTTTAAAGATTTATCACCTTAAAATGAAACATTCACATTATACAAAATATATCGTAGTTTTATCCACAAATATTTATCTTTAATTATATTTAAAGTTCTACTATACACTTAAATGTTGGAACTAGAAATTTAAATAAAACAATAAACTGTATATTATTTATATTATTATAAATTTTGTTATATTTAAACAATCAATAAAAAAAAAAAGTTATTTACGTATATTCCACTTTATTTTTGACAAAAGCACAAATAAATCTATACTATTTATACTTTACTAAGCAGTTTTCTATCAAAATTATTCGTTACTGTATATTTTTTTAATTATATCCATCATATCCTTAAACTTTGTTAAAGGAATTATTTTTAAGCAAAGTAGATGAAAAAAATGTAATAAACTACAATACAAAATGTTACTTTTATTTAAAAAAAAAAAAAAACTATATTTTTAAATACAGAAATGTACTCAAGTGTATTTAAATTTGAGAATATTATTTTGTGCATGTCTTAGAATTATAAATATTTAGACATTGGACCATTCCTTAAAAGAAAACATTTTTAAACAGTAAACAATAGATTATATCTTTTTTTTCACCCTCATCTCAAATTCAAATTATAGAAAAAAAAAGCACTGAAAAATCAAACGGTAAACCAATATTTAAATATTTAAGTTTATATATTTAAATTTCTATTTTTATAATTGATAATATTTAAATTTATGATTTTTATCATCATATTTTTTACCAAAAGTAATTTTATATTTTTTTATTTTTATTATAAAACTTATACAATAAACGATAAAAATAGATGGTTTTCGTCACAAGTGTCAAATTGTTTTATTTTAAAACGATCCACCATTAAAATGTAAATGTGCAAAAAATATTATTAAAAGTAACAAAATCAAAGAGGTGTGGCCATTTCATACTTGATTAAAATGTTTTCATTGAAGCTTAAAATGCTTAAATGTTTCATATAATCATTTAATCACTTAGTCTATAAATTTTAATAGCTTAATCGAAATAAAAACAATTCCTCTAAATAAATAGACAATTTTCATTTTTAAAGAAATAGCAATGGTTTGTAAACTATATTTTCTAGTATATTATAGTAATTTATTATAAAATTATTTCACACCTTATATTGTTTAATAAGGTATAAATATATTTCAAATGTTAAAATCATTCGGTTTTAAAATTAAAAAATTAATATTTATAAAATAGCTTATACATTTTTGAAATTTATGAAATAATGAATAATATGGGATGTATGTGAACCATATTTATCTGATATCACTAGAATACTTTTAAATTCTATAAGTTAAAAAAAAAAAAGAATTATTCATGCTAAAAATTGATAAATGACAAATTTTATTGTTCACGTCTGTTTAATAACTAAACGATAGTTATTTAATATAAAATTAAAATAATTAAATGTCATAATAATAAAACATTAATTTTTAAACATATTTAATGGAAACTTTAACAATAATAGAATACCTAATTTAGTTTAAATGTATGAGTATGTTGAATCATATTTTATTTTGTACCTTTAACCAATGTACGTAATTCTTCAATAGCTAATTGTGGATCTAACGGTTCATTTATGTCTCTTTGTTCATCAAATTTCCACTCAGATGAACTAATTTGATTTTTTGACATTTTGATTTGATTTGAATTAATATATATACTTTGTACAAGTCTTAGTAAAATCGTTTGTTATTAAATAAATATAATAACAACCATATACCAAATACAGAATATGATTTATCTAACATAGTATAAAATTTACACTGATTCTAAATAAGTATAACATTTTATAAAATACCTACTTTTTTAGAAAAAAAAAAACAGGAAATTGATATTAATCTGTAACTTAGTAATTACTTCTATATTATATACATACAAAAAACTTGCTGTAAAGTCATTATTTAAATTATTATAATACTTTTCGAGGCGTGTCAATTGAAAACATAATACCATACCTTGAAAACTTTGACCTACAAAATATATAATATAAATATGATTCAGGAAATATAAAGTATATTTAAAATAAAATTTTACAAATATACTTAACGATGAATCAGATAGTAAATATTGTATCGTCGATGTGATTTATAGTTACTGTTAGAGTGAGTTAAAATTTCGATATTTCATCCAACAAGAAAACATTTTAATATACATTTTTTTAAGTTATTATCTCTTTCTTTTCAATTTACTCAAACATTTAAATTGACCAACAACATTTTAACAAGTGCAGTTGATTCTGAAATACGAGTAAAGAGATAATATAATATTTTAAATGATAATCATTTGAATTTCAAAAATGAGTCTACAGTTTATTGTACTTTAAAATGATAAGCAATTTCAAACCTAAGATTTAACCTAGATAAAATATTAAAAAATTCATTAAATAAAAATGCACCGTTATCATACAACCCATGCATAAATATAAATTTAATACGAGTATTATTAAAAAAATATATATATTATTTAAACCTAAATCAAAATATAATCACCAGAACTATCAATATCTATTGAACAACAACGAAACTCAAAAACAGTAAAAGTATTATAAAAAGGGACGTAATGGTCTAAAGGAATTATAATTTTTTTTAATAATTATATAGTTATACAAATATAAATAATTTACTCGATTTTTAATATATAAGACATTATCGTCTATTAATGCGGAAATTATACAACCCAATTCTTGATGCCTGTATTTTATATGAGAACGTATTCATATCATACATATCTACCTATGGGTTATATTAATTTATGTTTAACTTTTATTTTTTTGTGATTATAAACACAAAATTATAATTTGTAAGTTATTATTTTTGACCATTTAAAGCCAGATCTAGAATAAATACCATATGCAGGTTATATTGAACAACTATTTTGTCATTAATTTAATGATGGCATTAAATTCGTCACTAATAACTACTAGTATTATTGTATTTTGTAAAAATAATTTCTGGTACCCAGGAACTAATCCAACATTACAAATAATCGTATACAAAAAATGTATCATTTTTATTACCATGACAATAATTAGATTGAAGTATAAAATAATAATATAATACTGACTGTTGCTGAATTAGAGGTCAGCATCTTGTTATTCTGTTCATCTTCCATGCCAACTTTTTTAAATTGTAAATATACTCTACTCAATTAAATCATTATACGTGGACATCCTTAACAATTCGTATAAACAGACAAACTGTGATGGATTCAACTACATTACATGTGCTCATATATAATTTACTTACTTAATATAACCAATAAAAATATAATCGTGCTAAACTTTTCATGATTTACACAGTACAGTTTGGTAGTACTAAGCTAAGATTTTTATGTGACATTATCGCGCTATAAGCATTGCAACGTTAAAACAAGAAATTATTGCTTTGATAAGATTTATTTTTACATACATTTTAGTATTTAAATTGTGAATTTAATGATTTACGTATTGAATTCCACATTTACATTTTTATAACTTATAAAATAGGTAACAGACAAAAATGGATCTTGATTGGTTTATATTTATTTCTATAAGCTAGGTTTGATTATTATTATTAGTTAGTTATTCAAATACTTATATATATATATATTATGTGTACATGTAATAAAATATTGTATTAGCCTCCATTACTAATAAAAATGAAAAAGGAACTAAAAATTGTATATGTTATACATAAATAGTGTATCGTACATGTATATATAACCATTTAATTTTTCTTGTTATTTCGTATACTTTTTCACTTCAAACATTTTACAGATTACAGATTTTAAAAGTATTCTACGGAGAAAAAATATACGCTTAAATTACATTAACATTTGCAATAGTAAAATTGTTTAAAAACTGATTAACATTGAAAACAAATATGAGACACCACGAAATTGATAAAATAGTAAATTAACAGCAATATCATATTTTATATTCATAAATAACATAATTAGCTCAGTATTTATCATAACTATAAATAACAGAAGTTAATGTGATAATATAAAGACACATTGCGGACAGCCATTATGGTGAAAAATATATATTATTAATCTAAATAATCACAAAACAATGAATTCTACGTGGTTATTAGAATATTGTATGCTCAATGGCTTATCTACAACAATGGAATTATCAATATATGTTTATACATAATTTTATTAGCATGGAATACGTCTGATACAACGTACAACTAATGCACAATGTGATATAATCAATGAGTAAAAATGTGTTTTCATTATTTTCGTGAAAAATTCTAATTAATTATATTAACTGTATTGGACAGATTTTTCATGTGAGTGGATCTGAAAGGTTGCAAGATTAATTTATAGTATTTAGTATAAATAATAAATCGAAGTATTTTATTAGCGTATTTTTAAATATTTGAAATTATCAAGGCAAATACCAGTTGAAAAATTCATAAGGAAATTTATTTTATAACTTAATTATTTTCATCCATCAACCAGACTGCGGCCAATTTTTATTCAAGACTCCATTTCAAAATGCAAAGCCACCCAAACCAACTTATATCTCAACTTTACTCTAATACATTTCCAGGTAACCCTACCCGACGCCTTAATCGGAAATGGTCCAGAGATTTTCTCAACACCCAAAATTAATTTAAGATTCATGTAAAGGTAGCTTTACTGTGAGCTTCCCTTTTCACCGTCCTATCACTGTCATTCCTCCAACAAATTTACTCATTGTACATATAATAGTATAGATTGTAAATATTCAATAAACGATATTTTATTAAAAAAAAAAAAAAAACTCAATTATTATTGAACATATATTAAAGTAAAGTAATTGTGAAAACTCTATAAGGCAAATAGAACATTTTAAATAAGGAAAATATATTAAACCATAATGCTCTAACAGAAAAAGTGTAGGATATGTACTCCGACAAAATTAAAATTTACATCTTCTATTCTACAAAAATATTAATAGCAGTTTTCAACGAATAAAATAATAACTTTTAATTTTTAAGGCGACATTATAGACAGTTTTATCTTTACATATTACACTAAGTCTCAATTAGGGCCAGACAGGCCCACTGTGCTACTGTGCTACAACACAGTTGGCCACGGCCGCGAAAAAAATCTTTACTGATATTACAGAATAGTGAACAAATTATCTGTTTATAGCACCTTGGTACCTAATTATATTTTTTAAATGATCTTAAGGCACGATTATAGAAAATCCTTTATATATTATAAATTATATTATACTGAAATCTAGTCTGAATCAGCTTTTTGGCAGTAAATATAGTAATTACCGTGCTTATTGTACATTATATACTATGTATTTTGTATATATTTATACACGTGTATTATAATAATTTATGTTATCACAGATGACAGAATTAATAAATTGATAACTAAACCCGTGACGGACCGTATGACTGTATTATTATACTCTGTGGTATTGTTCTATCGTGATATCCGTTTTTGGCTTTTGCTCATCAAAATAATATGTTGTCTGAGTTTTTTCTAATGGCGAGCGCGAGAATAAAGTAAATTGTATTTAATATTTGTTATAAACATCTAAAAAAAATATATTTTTAATTATTAATTCGAAATAAAATAAATTAATTCAAAAAAATTAATATTGCATTTTTATTAAACTCCATTAATTCTTTGTGTATTATTTTAAAGTGTTTACTTTATATATATTTGATATAGTACAAAGTAAATTTATATTTTACAGTACCATAGAACATGGATTATGGACAACATCACATAACTAATCATGATTGTTGAATATAAAGGTTAGAAAGTGTCCCCCTCTAACATCTTTAAATCCTAACAAATACCAATTTTGTGAGACAAACACATTTAAAAATTCCAGTCCAGAAATAATACATTATTGTCGGTTCTTTAAAAAAAAAAAAAAAAAATGTTAGTAAAAATAACCATGGTTCCGTTGAAAAGTTCGTGGCGTACAACGTTTGGTAAATAAATGGACTCGATTACACCGGGTGAATGACAATAACAACGTATTATGATGATTCAATTTGGTACGAGACGATTTCCGACGAAGCACGTTGCCTATACCTTGCGAACGGATTACACCCGCAGCATGGTCATTTTGTGTGCGCATCGAAACCGTACACTTAACGTTCCCCTTCCTTCGATCCAGATCACTATATTACATTAATTGACCCTTTTTTTCCTCCGTACTTGCGTACCGGGTCCATACTGCGTGTATCTCGTTAGTCGTATAAACGCGTTATATTAGCGACTACCGGTGTGTGTTTGTGTGTGTATGTGCGTGTGTGTGTGTGAGTGTGTTTTTTTGCCGTCCGATTTATTCATTCCTGTACACTATTTGGATATTATGATCCTTTGCATTGTTGGACCGTCTACTCAAAACCTGTCAGCGTCGTGAGCATTACAGTTTTTCCGTATCCGACCTACCGATATGACGTCATTTACAAACACGGTCGTCGTGTTGTTATTCCTATGGACGTTCGCGCTGGAACCTTGCCGGTGCGACAACCACACCACGGACTGCTTCGTTACCGAAAGGTACGTACTAGTGGACGTCACGTTTGTCTCGGTGTACCTATACGGGGACTCATAGCTGTTATAATATATCGTGTTGCATGAAGTTATCACGAGGTGGTCACGGTCAGCGTCAACGAGCCGGTGCACATCATAAGGTACACGTGGTGCTTGAACATCCCGCCGAGATGTCCGGATAACAGGCAGGAGTACCGGACCATTCACAAGAACATCGTAAGTGACAACCCGGGCGTATGGGACGACGACGATTCAAACGGATTTCGTTTTCAGACCGTGCCGAAAACGCGCAGAAAGAAAGTGTGCTGTGAGAACCAAATCCAACTATACGAAGATTGCATACCGAAGTGTACCGAAGAACAGTGTCTGAATATTAAATGTGTACCGGGAACGGCCAGATGTAAATGCAAGTCTGGCTTTGTAGGTCAATTATGTCAACAAAGTTAGTATCGATTGCAATAACGTTGATGTCATATTATACATCATCGTATATTAATTCGTAATAACTTTAAAGCATCATTAAAGTTATAAACAATTATGTCATCATCGTATATTAATTCGTAACAACTTTAAAGCATCATTAAAGTTATAAACAATTATGTTTTATTAAGAAAAAAACGAATAAGAAACCATTTATACCTAACCTAAACAGTTATAAGTATTAAGTGTTACAATATTGAAAAATATAAAAGTTTGCACTTATAAACAATGTATCTAACAATAATATAAACATATTCAAATTAGAGGCATATTATGAGGAGTAAAGGGAAAAAAAACTTCCTTCGTTTTATCGCTGCACAAAGTATTAACTTTGAATGCAATATTATATTGTGAATAATAAAAACAAAATAAAAATAAATAAATAACATAATTTTAAAACGCTTTAATAATATACATTAAGTGTTTTATTATTTTTTTTATTATAACTCATAGATGTATAATATTATGCATATATTAGATATAATAGTTGATACCGAAAAGTAAATATAATTGATTTCTCATTGCTTAATATACAATGAATATATGACATGTACTAAATAATTATTATCAGCATTTTCAATCGTAGTTAATTACCATCATCGTTAATAATTAAATACACACTTATAATAATTTGGACGTCGAACACTATTTTTATTATTTATTTTTGACATATAATTTTGTCTTTGTTAAATTTGTAATGAAAATAAATCCGAATATTTTAATCATTTATATGTCTTAATTAAATAGTTAAAATTAGTTTTATTTTTTTGACGTATTTATGGATAAACCTAATACTATGTTATCGATTAATATATTTTTTTAATCTTAGTTCATACCACTTTAACCCCATATATTTGTGATCGTATGTATACATAAACCTAACTGTATACTATTTATTTATATTAACTGATTATTATTTTTTTTGTATGTAAATAATTGCCGTCATAACCACAAATTAGTAACACAACTAATTACATTCAGTCTTTGAAATATTTTAAACCCATCTTATAACATGATTTCCTGATTAAAATATTGACTAACCAAAAACAATTATTATTCCTCGGTTAATGTTTGAATATTAATATATAAAGCAAGACTTTAAATTCGTTTAACTTTTTACTTAAGTGCAATAATCTGTATATTAAATTTATTAATTAATTTTAATTGATTTATTGTAAAAGCTTTTGATGTAATTAACACAAAAAAAATTATGGGCTGTGGTTAAATTAAATATTGTTAACAGTAAGATATTTTTTACATCAAATAATTTTATACCACATGTTATACCAGATATGATACGACAAAAATTGATAGAAAAACTATCTATATTAATTTCTTATACACAGAACTTACACAGCTACATACACCATAATATAAATTATAAACAACAATTCATGTCTGATTTATATTTTATTTGAAGTCCATAGTAGCTAATAGTTCTAATATTTACTACTGAATTACTTACATTTTAATATTTAACTATGCCGTAAATGAAATGCTTAATTTTTCAATCTATATTAACGCTCAATCAACAGTTTTACCTTTGTATGTATATTAATTGATTTTCATTAGAATACATTTTATTGAGTTAATTAGTAATATATATTTGTATACGTTAATAATTAATTCAATAGTTAACTTAACTTTATACCTTAAGTACTTTTGTTGAATCACCAAAAAATATCTTAATCCGATTATATATATAATTACGAACATAAACATAGTGTTAAATGTTTATTAAAAGCATTCGATTATTTAAGGTTGTATAAACTCGATAAATATTTATGTATACAATCATTTTCAATTTTCACTATCCCCTTAAAAAATAATAATGCGTACCTACTTCAAGATTTACGATTTCACGATCACAAAATTATTTTTAGTGCATTTAATTGATTTACTTACTTTTACATTTTTTTTTTTTTTTTTATAAGTAATTTTGACACTTATTTTCAACTTTGAGTCATTTTAATAAACACAACAAGACATTAATTTAACTACAATTAACAATTGAACCAAAGACGTAATTAACACAAATACGTGTCATTCACGTATTTCTGTTTCACATATTCTCGTCCATCTTAGTAATGACAATTCTTTTGAAGAATAAATGTATGAATTCAATTAAAATTAAACTTTAAGAAAGTAAAAATAATTGCAATCTATATATAAAAATGTTAAAATTAGGTTTAAAAAAATATACTATACCTTGTGTCATATATGTTAAAATACATTTTAAAATAAATAACCTATTACTGTGATACCAATACATTCTGAATCTTCAATGAAGTAAAAGTATATTTAATTAATAATACATGTATTATTCTTTTTGGAAATCAATTTTTCTTCGAAGTCTATTAATAAAAACTGTAATAATTCATACCATAAATAATATACAATATGCTTTTATCTTATTTTCATTAACTTGCTACATCTAAGTATCTACATTAATTGTCAATTTTTTGTTTTATGACAGTTTTCTCTTTGTCACAGTAATATTAAAATTGTGGATAGTATATAATTAACCATGGGTCTGAGCGTGCTCAGTTTATTTCGGAAAAATAATTGTTTTAAAACTATATTTGATAATATATCGCCTGCTTGACATGAAAAACATCATTGTTATTAAAACTGCAGCCGTCTATAAAAATATAAAAGGTAAATGAATTACTATTATTAAAGTTATCAAATTTTTTTTTACAGAAAACTCAAACCAAAACATAAATATAATATGTTAAATATTATATGAGTAAAAACATTAAAAAAAAAAATAATAATACAAATCATTTTACCATTAGCGCAATATTGAAATAATTAAACAATTTACAACTAATAACAATCAAACGATTAAATATTAATTATTTTTTCTGGTTTTGGCACATTCCCGTTAAATTTAAACCTACTGAGGTACTTTTTGTAGCGTTTATATTAAAGTACGTCGTAGAATGTTAATAACTTCAATAAGAAGGTTTAGATAAACGATAGATATATTAAAAAATATAATCCAACAAGTGCATTTCTATTGCAGAACCATGGCTAGGATAATACATCTTCTAAATAAAAGATAACTTAATCGTCATATCCAGTGGCGTGCACAGGAATTTCCTATGAGAGGGACGTTATCTGGTGGTGAAGTAAAAATTAATCTAGGCTAGGAAATAATAGTTCAACCTGGTAAATTGAAATAAGAACAAAAAAATGGTTTTCTTGTTACATTCAAACATTTTCAGAATTTCTTCTTATCATTATCCTAATAATTGTAACTTCAACTTAAAAGTACATTTTGATTTGCTATAAATCACTGTTTTATTAATTTAATATGACTATATTATACCAACAAAAGCTAAAAGAGTATAGCTACTTATTTATAGGTAAATAATCAAACATTTTATCGATTAAATTTTATTCATTTTTAATTAAAATGCAAAACAATTGATAAAAAAAATATTTTAACATTAAAATATTCTAGACGGAAATTTCAACGCCAAATTTTTGCACTCAGTTCATTTTCAAAATACATTTTTCTGTAAATTAATTTAATTAACATCCAATCGTTTTATCCGATAACGTTACGAGAAAAAAAAAACATTCACAGAACATATCAGTTTTTAAATACTAAAAAATAAACGTTTGTTGTTTCGAACTGATTGAGTTCTATGCACCCTGAACCAGGGTTATTAATTAATAATGTCATTTTTTTTCAAAAAATATTAGTTTTATGAAAAAATTTATAAAATTAAAAAATGCACAAAATGTTATTTCAAACAAATTATATTCTTATGCTTTGTTCAATATTTACTATTATTACTTGTGATATGCTTGAAAAACATAGCAATCTACGAGTATGTTGTTTTCTATAACATAGAGATATGTAACATTAATCCTTTTGTGGCATATGTTAATATTTTTCAACTCTCCAAAAACCTTTTATACATCGGTTTTATAAATATTTAGACCAATTTAAGTTGTATAATTAACACATTTTCAAATTTAAGTTTTAAGGACCACCCTGACCCTGGTAGCACCTGTACATTGGTATCCGCAGTTTACCATTACTTTACGGTCAGAGACGAATTTAATTTTTTTATGACTATAGGCTCTAATATTAAACATAATAATACCTTAACCAGTTTGAATTTTTGTATAATTTTTTTCTCGTTCTAAGTTATTTAACTTATTTTGGAAAAATTTCCATGAGAACCCATCAAATTTTAATGAAAACGTACAATAGTAATTTTTACAAATCACCATTATTTAAACCATTATTTAGAGTCTAAACTTTAGACAATCAAGCAAATATAATTTAATTAGGAATTTTCTATTATTTTTTATTTTTAATTATTTATTTTAATAAAGCACTACAACGTTTGCTGGTTTCTAAATGTTGACGTCCTAGGCAGCTGCTTTCTCTGCTTATTGATAAATCCGCCACTGGTTATCGGGGTAAGTTGACATGAATCTCGCGTTCCAGGGTGCGACGTTGGGTACTGGGGCCCGGAGTGCAAGAATCGTTGCGACGTGTCGTGCTCCGAATGCGACCACCACACCGGGTGCTGTCTGACGGCGGCCGGAGACGACCACTCGGCGTTGATAATGTGTGTCACCGACCGTCCGACGGCCAACCGTCTGAAAACGTCCGTGGCCGGAAACGGCACGGAACGTGAAAACGGCAACGCCATGACGCCAGGAAACGTCACGACATCCACCGATGATCGATCACTGTGGCCGGCGCGGACACCGACGACGCGGACGCCGACGACGCAGACGCCGACGATGCAGACGCCGACGGCACAGACGCCAACGACGCAGACGCCAACGACGCAGACGCCAACGACGCAGACACCGACGACACCGACACGCACGACAGCAGTGCCGAAGAGACGTAACGACGGCATGATAGGCATGTTCTACGGGAAAGTGGACGTGATGATATACGACCAGCTGGTGAAGAAGCTCATATGGATATCGGCCATGACCGTGGTGGCCATCGCTATGGTGTTCGTCATCATGTTCGTGGTGTTCATCAACTTTTACGGCGCGAACAAACGGGCAAACGTAGCGCGGGACAGGAGGCGACCTACCTCGCTCGACTTGCACAAAATTAACGGTAACAACTGTTGCACATGTACATGTGCCGGAAATTTTACGTATGAAATATGCTTTGCGTAACGCACGAAAAGAAGGTATTGTACATTTTTTTACGGTAATTGTTTAAATTTTTTGGGCGTCTCTCGGAAACAATGGAAAAAATATTGCTCTGATTTCGATGTCGCAATGGGAACTCATTGTCGAACGTTTCGTCACCGAAATGCATACATCGAACTATTAGGACGACATGATACACCAGCTTTACGTTTTACGCGGCTCAAAAGCATTCCGTGCAAGTCCATAGCATAAGCGCCCTCTGTTTTTATTTTAAACGGAACTTTAACGATACGATGAACTTTTTTTAATTATTCGTCAACAAAAACGGATTCAAAGTATTTATATGTAAGATTATTTGTAAAATTTTAAGTGTCATGTTTAGCTATTACAAATTTTTGGTAAAATAATCGAAAAAACCATATATGTTACTTCATAGATAATGTTATTTTCTTAAAAAATAAAAATGAACCTCTTCTATAAATTTATGACGAATGGTTTTGTTTCACGCAACATGGTTTTTCCACCTAAAAATCATAAATAAATTATTATTTTATTTATACACTCACGATCACGAACACGATCATACGCCACGCACTCGTATGAATGCGCCCACACTGGTAGCCCGTTTCGTTGTCGATCTTATAAGGAGCGTTAAGCTAATGGCACTTTTGAGTGACACTTCCTCTTAAGAATATAATAAAAAGGAAAAAAAAATTTTTAACTTCATACAACTCTTATCATAATTTTAGGGAAAAAAAATCGACCAGTGTTTTATGTAGAAAATATATTATAAGTATCTTACCGATCCGAATTATAGTTCGATTTTACATTATACAAATCAATCTACATGAATCTAGTATACACTGTTGGTTGAACCATCTCTTGTGTTGATTATGTAGACTGTGAATTACCATGTCATCTCGTCACTGAAAAAATTGTGTTTTTAATCGAATACAAAAACCAATCAATCTGAGTTAGTGCAGCAAGGAAAAAAATCTAATACTCAAAAAAACTAACAAACCTACCTATTCTAGAATAAGTAAAAATGTAGTGATAAAATTTTCTTTTTCTTTATAATAAAAAAGATTTTATCTTCAAATCATTTTGCACCCTTTGACATGTTCGTGTTGCTTTTACATAAGTCCATCCTTTATAAATATATTTTCATGTATATAAATGAATGAATGTACAAAATATTTACATGCATAAAATATACAATGTGATTTTCGTTAGATTATAGTTTCGTTATATCAGTAAATTGTTGAGTTCTTTTTAAAAACAGACCTTATATTCATATAAAATATTCGAAGAAAATTGTCCATGTTATTTAATCTCAACATTTTATTAATTTCTAATAACTTTCTTATCGACAGAACAACTATTTTTTTAGTCTATAATAATTTCTTACTTATTTAATTGCACGAATATCAATAATTAAATCAATGATTTATTATGTGTAAGTCATAAACCATGACCATTTGAAAATTGAATTAGTGTAGCAATAAACCTAAAATGTATTCTTATAAAACGATATTTATAAGAAAAAAACAAAATGTATTAAAACAATTAATGACTAATGAACATATCCATTGCATGACAGAATAGAACTTATATATTTTGATGAGTATTAGTAGTAGCATTGATTTTATAAAAAATTATTTTATTATAAGATTTATGATGGTTGTAATTGATATTTTGTAAGTTAGTGTAAATTATTTTTGCACATTTAAAATGTAGATAGTGTTATATTTTATTTCTCATTTAACGTTATTGATTTGTATGAATAGCCTTTTGGTGAAAATTACCGGGTAAGTCGATTTCACTTAAATGTAATACAAATGTGATATATAAGTGGAAGCTGAGTTTTATCCCTAGATTTTAGATTTTAGATTTTCGTCGCCATCTTCATAAACGATTTACTCTTATTTTGTCATAACTATAATGTTTAAGGATAAATTTAACTAATTTGATGTTGTTTCTAGATTATTAATCAATACTGAATAATTAAATTTACGAGAAAAAAAAATTGTGCACATTGAATAGTGATTTTTTCATCAGTAAATGCACAAATATGTAGATCACACTTTTCTAAAACACTTTTGTCCCTGGTTGGGAAAGTAGCATTTTTAGTGTGCACTTAAAATACATAAATAAAATCTTTACATTAGTAATCATAAATTGACTACTTTAAGCCTGCTCAAAAGTATTGAAAATTGATCTTTTAGTTCAAATATAGCGAAAAAACAGCGTATGAATGTTGATAATAATGCTGTGAAAATATACAAAAGCAATTAAACCTAAATACATCTTGCTTAAATCCGAAACTTTTTATATTTGTTTATATTTTATCATATGCATATTCCAAGTCAACTCTGTACTTATATTATGTTTCACAGTCATTAATCACTTAACTGTTGAAAAGCGTTTGCGTTATTGTATGTCCTTTCATATCTTCTAGAAATTCTTCTTTTATTGTCCTTGTATGTACTCTACGAAAACTTTACTTGTATTTAATTTATTATTTCAGCGTCTAAGTTGTATCTTATTTGTATCAAATAGTCGTTTACTTCGGCGTTAATTATATTTTAACGTATCAATTTTCTCCTTTTGTCTTTCCCTCCATCAGAACCTATACTATATGAACCTACATGTACAATACCTATTTTCAGTAACGTATAATTTATAATTTTTTCACCGACAAAATTTAAAACTCAAATGCTTTAGTAGCATTTTATCCTAAATTTAACTTTCTATTTTCAATTTCAATAATTATTATTTTTATTTCAATTTACAGAAAAATGTATTATCACGCAAAATCCAGGTTATGTATCACCAGATAGATATAGCAAGACTCCAATGCTACATACATGTAAGCTATTATTTGTTATATATAATTATTTTAACTCTTGCACCAAATTATACCTAATAAAATAATCGAAATAAATTTACTAAGTATTTAAAGCTATTTTACATATGATGGTTAAGCTAATTTGTATGTCAACATTCTCAAATATGAGTTATTTGAGCCGGATTTTAAAAATATTAAATACTTCTCAAATTTATAACTTCTAACATAAAATAATATTTTTATTGATTTTAAATAAACACCCAATGTTACCTTCATGTATATGTAAGTAATTATAATACTAAAGTATATAAAAAAAAAAAAAAACACATTTTAATCATAACAAGAGAACCATTTACTTCATATAAAATCTATCTATATTATTTACCAATCTATAGTTTAAAATGAAAAGGGTTAGTTCTAAAAAGAAAAATATTTAACAAAGTGAAAATATATTTCTCAGTTTCTAAATTATCTCATTTTAAAACTAAAAACACAAACGACAACACAAACTAAAAACACAAACAATTATATCTATATACAATTTTGTTAATATTATGAGTTTAATAAATTTATTTTAAATTATTTTGATTTTGCAATATTTTATAGGTTCCCAAAGTGTGCGCCGCGGTGCCCTAGTGCGTCGTGATGTATGTATAAGAGACATCGCAGACTACAGACTTTATATCGGCCGATAGTTTAGTCGGGTTGAGCTGCTATCGCGCACACTAGGCCAACTAAACCGTTTGGTTGGTGGCGGTACGCAAACTGGTCAATAGTCGGCCAACTGCTCTGGAAAGATTTTTTAGTTGTGCTGAATTCTGCTGACGATAGCAGTCGCTTTTTAGTATACTTTTATTATACCTTCCCGCTTCAAATCTCTGGTGAATCGGCCGAGTCGACAGACTAAAAATCGGCAGTGTGCGCGCGTGGAATTATCGCCATACTGATTAAGCAGTCGGCCGATAGTTCGCCGACAGTTTAATTTAAAGGTAATCGTGCAGCCCATCAAACTTATTAATCGGCCAATACCAGATCGTTATAATTTGCGCTCTTGTACATAACTTTGTACTGATTAAGAACCCGACTAAACTATTGGCCGATATAAAGTCTGTAGTGTGCGATATCTCTAAGGGTACCGCGCCGTCATGAAATACTATCGGGTCTAATATTTTCCTAATGATTAGTCATGCTATGACTTAAAGAAGGGCGCTCTGAAAACCTTGGATCAAAAAGGGCGCCTTGAGTCGAAAAAGTTTGGGAAGCACTGCAATAATTAATAAAAATTGTGTATAATTATAAAACCACGATTTTATAGTACTTTTAATTTGTCCCGAATAAAATTATTGATCAAAAAAATAAAATGATTTTTAAGTTTTAAACTACATATTCCACATTTATAAGGTGAATTATTCATGATAAAGTTTGAAATGTCAAAAACATTCTAGTGGAAATAAAATGATATTTTTTCGAATATAATACAAAATAAATTGCTAACTTACAAATTAAATTTGTATTGATATAAAGTAGAAATATTAAAATATATTAAATTTAAATTAATACCAATATCTAAAAAAAAGGAAATTTAGTAGTTATTTACAATTACTAACAAATAACGTAATACAATATTAATTATTTTCAAGAAATTAAGTAATGGAAAACGGTAAATAAAAATGTTGGTTATCTTTTACTTAGGCATATTTTTTTACAATTTGTTTGGTTATACTTCATGTAAACAAATCGATACTATTAATGTCTAATGTATTAAATATATTCGCTGCATCTAAATAAAATTAATTTATAATATTGAAAAAATCTTATGTAATATTTGAAACACTTTCACTAATAAAAAATATATAATACCAAATTAAATCAGATGGCATGATTATTCATTATTACTTACTATTATAGTCGTATATGGATTATAAACATTTAAATTGAGTACATGTAAATAATAACAATATAACAGTAATATATATATAAATATAATAGTATTAAATACTAAAAATACTTGTTTAATAGATTATAATTATTTTTAGTTCTTAAACACTATTCGTAAGTCGGGATTGATAAAGTATTATTATAATTTTTAATTTATGTCACGACAAAGTAAGATAAATTAATCATTGATTGAATATTATTTTAATTCATTTTTAGCTAATAATGGTTATACTACATTTCATCCAGAAATATTTTGTCCAGTTTTCTCAGCACCTCATCACACAGGTAATTAACTATTAAACATAACATTTATATTTATAAAATTGTTGAGTTTTTATCGAAAACACTTATTTTGAAACTATAAAGTATAAATAATTTTATTATAAATCTTGTTATAAATTACTAACAAAACACAATGATTTAAAATAAAGTATAAGAAATGTAAACGTTATCAAATAAATGAAATATATTAAAACACATTTTACTAACATATTTAAGTAATTTAATTAACCATTTTACTATCTTTGTGGAAATAATAAATATATAATTTGTTAATAAATAAATAAATAAATAAATATATAATATACAATTTCTTTCACATATCACACAATTTTAGTGTTTTTATAATATAAATAACTTTAATTAATATTGTTTTTGATCGAGCAAAATTACCTAAGTACTTGTATGCATTTTGAAATACCAAACTTAAAATATGATTCATTAAAAATGATTCAAATTATATAGCCATAACTGACATTTCAATGTGGTAATTTTAAAAAGTTTTGTTTCCCAATATTCAAAAATCTAAACGTAATTTAAAATTTTAGTTATAAAAGCTTCTTCTTATTTTAAAGAAAAAAATAAAGCTAAACTAAAATGAAAGTTAACTAAAATAATATAAAATAAAATTTTCATTGAAATATTTGAATTCTTCTTAAAAATTACACGGCTGCGTTTCTTAAAAATGTTTAAAAATTATAATGTAATAGCTTTAAATATTTTTAATATTTCTAAGAAGTCTTTTGTACTATAAATATTGTGTGTAAAAAAATTGTAACGATTGAACTTATTATTTAAACATGACTTATAAGTATTTTATTAATCTAATTAAATGTATATATATTTATTATATCAATAACATTTATAATTTAAATTTTACTCATTATATTCATTATTAATCTGAAGGTACTAATTATCAAATTTAAATCGAGGATTTAAAAGAACAATTAAATCACAAAAAATAAAAAAGTGTAGAAAGCTATAATAACAATTATTATTATTTATGCATTGTGGCATGATACATGACCGCACACTCATTATAATAGAGTAGTGAAAAATATACATATGTATCCCTTAATATATAACATAGTCACAAAGGGATTAAAAAAATATAATAAGTGTATACTAATCCACGTATATTGTTGGTCATTTTCAATAAAAAAACGAAACTAGTCATTTTTGAAACAAAAAAAAAATATATGTACCTTTTAAACATACAAATGTAGATAGATAACACTTATTGAGATGCAAAACTGTAAAAGTGCAAATTGTCTCTAAATAATGAAGAAGCTTTGAATTACCATCCAACATATTAACATATTATAACACCCACCAGTGAAAGGCTTCACCTACACATTTTCATTGATTTATAATATAATATCATTTGGCGTATTTGATAATGTGTCGATATACTTCTCCATTTTATCATTATTATACTCATTTTTTTAAGTAATATTTCAAAACACTGAAATGTCTTTTACTAGATAACTAATATCGTTTAATGGCAGTTCATTAAAATCTCTAATTTTGTCAAAATTTTATTTTATAACGTTTATAACATTCCTATGCGATTTTCCAGGAATTTATTTTTTTGCAAAGTAAATTATTTTAAAAATATTATATTTAATTTAAGTATACAAATTTAAAATTATATGAATTTTTAATTACGAAAATGTAATAGATTTTTATAACTTTTATCGTTTTATCAAAATTAAACATTTAAGGGTTCGTAAATTGTTTTTTTTTTTTTTTTAATAAAGTTCAATTTTTTTCAGTAATTAGTAATAAATATGTACGAAGAACTTCAAATTTAAGTTTAAATTAATTTAATTTATTATATTTAAAAACTTTTTGTCAAAAAAATTATTTTATCGACATTTTTGAAAAAAGCTAAGAAAACTAAAACATTTAAACTTTCTATAAATAGCTCAGTAAAAAATCTTTTGTACATTTTACACCATCTTTTATACACCATCCATAAAAACAGTCATATAAGCACATATATGAGTGAGCATTTAGTTAAAATTTAAAGTTTCTATGATTGTTATCTTTACAATTACAATAAAAACAAAAGTTTGATTTCGTCGTAATACTGTAAATGTTGGAATTTTTTTTATAAATATATGTCCGTTCTTCATTTTATTTATTTTAGTTATTTATGTTATTATTGGTTTGTTTTAGTATTATTATTTTTTAATTTTAGTTATTCTTTAAAGTACCAACTAAATAATATTTTCTATCAAAAATTTAAAATAATTTAAACTGTCGGAATAACTCTTCTGGTCGAAACCGTACACAAAATCACAAAAATAAATAAGGGATGATAAAATAAGAAACTATTATAATAAGGTTTCGTATTTCAGTTGAAATTAAAGTTTTTTCTTTAGTTTTTCTCAATTATTCGGAAAACTGTTGAGAAATTTTAAAAATAATAAAAAGACGAAGACATTTAGTAAAAATCATCATAATAAAGAACGAAATAATGAAATTTGTAACTTTTTTTTTTTTGTTAATAAAATTTTAAATCAATTTCCGAGCTAATGATTTTCCTGAAACTCTTAAAATTATAAAAATATTCTTCTAATTTAAGCTGTCACTACTGCATCTAATAAACGCCTTTTCCTTCGTTTAAATTAATTAAAACCTATCTACGCCTGATAATGGATAGATAATTATATATTTATATATATTTTTAATGATCAGCTGAATGATTTACTTTTTATTGCTGTTAAATGCGATATGATCGTAAACATCAATGTAGAAGATGAAATTTATTTATTTTCAAAAAAGAAAAATAAAAGACATATATTTTATTTATACAGTTATAGCTTGAGTCACTAATGTCACTTGAATAAGTTTACTGCATTATTTTTAATTTTAAATATGAAATATAGTTATGCAATCATTATTTTGTAAAAATTTAAGATTAAAATGTTGCCTAAATTTTAGATTACGATGTTTTACTTGATTTCTTTTAGTTGTAAATTTATTAATCCCATGTTTTTTTTTTTTTTTTATTCAGGTGGATCATCACTATTATACGATACTCCACGTCCACAACCAGTATATGAAATGTTAAGTTAAATAATAGATATATTTAATTTATTAATATTTATTTAGAATTTGTTCAACTTTATTATTATATATTTATTTTTAAATAATCATTGATTATAAATATATTATTGTTTTAAAAATATTACATTTTTCAATTTCTTTATTTCTCAAAAATGTTCTGAAACTAGCATAGGTATATTAATTTCTTAATTAATTTCAATAGACAACGTTTAAATTTAATACTTATTAATTTATACTTGTAAACAAAATGTATTATTATTTTCAATATTAATTATTACAACATTACAAAGGCACCGAATAAATGTTTTCAATTAGTTCAAATAGCAATATTAATATATTATAGAATATAAAAATAATATGTCACTTATACATATTACAAAAATACAATAGTAATTAAAAAACACGAGAGTTACATAACTCTCCAATTGGTATTTTGAATTGGAATTATATAATAAATGTACAGTACTCTAAAGATTATATTAATGACGACAATAATTTTTTAACTACATTTTATAAGTACACATATAAATATAATTATAATTTAAAGTACAGATTACAACTTTTTATGTGCAAAACATGTATATATACCGGGTGCTCTTGAAATTAATGAGGTCACTGGTATATGGACTTACTATGATGGAACAATAAAGATTTGTTTGAAATTTTTTTTCATCTTCAAAATGTTAGTTTATTCAAATTATTTTTAGAATATTATCTTAAACCTAAAAATAAACACTAGTTGTAATTTTTAAAAAATCCTCATGCAAATTGAGGCGTCACACAGTTTTTGCGCTTATCACGCGTTTTTCGTGATGAGTCTACTAAAAAGTGCGGTAAATTCAATATTAACAATAAAAGTATAATATTGCACTTTTAACGAGTACAAAATAAAATGTATACCTTATCGATTCAAAATTGTGTTACTGTGATATCTAAGAACTGTAATTTTAGTCTAAAAGCCTGTGGCGATCAAATAATTGTGTCATAAGGATGAAGCTGATTTTTAACAAGAACTTTGATCATTGAAAAAAACTAATCATAATTTAGAATATGAAATCAATTTATTAAATAATTTTACTAATTTTAGTAGCATAAATTGTAAAAATATGTTTAGAGATGTTACTGTCTGTAACAATAAAGTAGTTTGTTATTTTAAATTCAGACATTATAAACACTTAATGACTTATTAGTACAAAACTGAAAACAAAAGCAGAACAAAAATTGTTTATAACGTCAACCGATTAATTAAAAATTATTGTACTCTGTACACACTACACATTAAAAATTGATAAGTATTATAGGTATTATCTTTTTATTTTATTTTACATAAGAATACATACTAAAATCTTACACTAGGGCCAATGTACAGTATATAATATTTTTGGTATTTAATATGTCAAAATGTAAGGAAACACAATATTCTCATAAATTGTATATTAATTTATTAAATATCATTGGTTGTTAATCGTAAGACGTCTCATACCAGTACTTAAGTCACTCAGTCCACTTGGTCAAATAAACAACCATTATTTAGATAAATAAAAAATTATTATAATAATGTACAATATATAATTTTGAATTCAAAATACAAAGATACTGTAGAAATGATTTAATTCTTATGACTGAATAAACGTTAATTAAACATTTTATAAATCAAAAATCAGAAAATCATACAATATCATTGCTCAATAATCGAAATTCAGTGATAGTAATATATAATATAATATAATTATGGTATACTGGAAAATTGTAAAGGTATATGACTAAATATTTTATAAATCCAATAAAAAGTTTTTAATTACATTTTACATATTTAAAACATAACAATGCAATGCTTAACATATATTTATAATTAATTTAAGAAACTGAGACTGAAACTGTTTTAAAAGTGTAATCAAATATTTGCCATTAGATCATTCTACATTATTATTAATTTTTAGAAAATCCTTTTTTTTTTGATTTGGAGAATAATAAAGAAAATTAAAATATTTCAACAACCATCACAGTTATAAAAAATTTTGAAAACAAATTTATTAAAAATATAATATTAATAACCATAATAACTCGAATATTATATATTAATATTGCATAGAATATTAAATCTATATTTATATTTATTTATATTTTTTAACTAAAATGCATACTATCTGGATAATGGACACATAATCCATATTAATTGAATAAAGTAGACACTTAACAATAAGAATCATAGTTTCCTTTATTAACCGGCTATTTTGTTCATTAACCATTGATTGATGAATGAAGTAACTGAATAGAAAAAATGTAAAAAACCTGATACTATATAATTATATTTTCAATGGCACTAAATGTAAAATATAAATTTACTTATGGTGCTAATTTTATAATGTGAAAATCGTATAAAAATATCATGGAACTATCTATCATTACCATTTATCTCACGATCATTTATTATAATCATTTGATGTTACCTATATAGGTATAACGTCAGTGAAATTTAGTTGTGTTCGGAATAAAACATGAACTTCTGAAATGTAATGAGTTTAAAAAACAATTCGTACTTCGTATTTTAATAAATTAATTGCAGAAAAAATAAATAAAATTCGACTTATTTATCTAAAAAAAAAAAAATTAAAAACCCAATTACTTTATCCATCAATCAATATTTAATATACGAAATTATGATTCTAAATGTTAAGTGTTTCCTTTATTCAACTAGTATGGATTATAAGCACATAATCTGGATAGTGTGCTCTTTAGCCATGTCTCGGACTTTAGTCGTAACATAAATATTGGTAAACTATTTACCTCATATCTTTCAGTTTTTCAATCAATGATTAAATATTTTTTTATCCGTATACAAAAAGACCAAACAATTTTAACGATTTAAAAATAAATTTAAAAACAGAATATATTTAACACAGTTAAATTTTTAAAAAAGTACTCGTTTTTATAGTTATTTTCAATAATACCTAGATTTTTTTTACAAAATTTGAGTTCTCACACCTGTTATGTCTCTATATAGCTTCATTTTGAGGGCTAAATGTCCTAGGTGATTCCTGTAAATTCTGGTTTTGTTAACACCGAAAAAATAATCTTCTGATCTGCAATACATATCAAGTACCTACCTATGTCTTTAAAACGGACGTATATGTTCAACAATATCTGTCTGTCATTCCCGTATACTAAAAGAGCTAAAAAATCTATTACTAGACTTTGTACAATATACATCGTAGTCTATAATTAAATAGCTGGACTTTCATTATAAGAAAACGCTGAATATGCACAAGTGATATCATTTCAGGAGCTTAATAATAAAATGTATGATTCATAAATTATTAATAATAATTCATCGTGTTATTGTATTATATCATGAATTATTTATTTTATAAATTGAATTGGGTTTCTCCAAACCCGGATTAAGGAGGACCAAAGGAGGCTACATCCTCGAGGTTCATGTATGTATAGTTTTCTCAGCTTAAAATGACATTATGTGATAATTTTTACTTTTTATAGTACGTATAAGAATATTTTTTCTTGTTCGAACTAACGGGTATTGGAAACCATCGTCCGCCTACCATGTTTATTGCCATAGGCGTACATGGTCAGATTTGTGTAATTTCTTTTATTATATATAAATATAATTTAAAAATTTTTTTTTTCATTAGTGGGGTTGTGTATTGGTCCCGGGACCATTGAAGGTTTTAATTCAGGCTTGGTTATCTCTATTAATTCCTAACATAAATTAACAGTTAACAACATTATAATAAATAGATCAGCATAACATAAAAATTAATATCATTATTGTTGTAATGTATAGGTAAATATATTTTATAAGGAAGTTAATGCAATGACACGTAAAAATATGACTTCGAACCAACAAAAAAACAGAAATTTTACAAAATGACTCAGTCACATTGGAGTATAATAATATTATATAGGTAGTATGTTCATATATACCAGAGAAACAGGAAACTGGCGGCCTACGTACTTTTTTTTTTATCTGGCCTGTACTACATTTTCAAATTACTAAATAACATTTTAGATTTTATGGGTATTTCATTTTATTACGTTGATCGTAAAATGTAGATATTATGTTCTTATCTAGTATTGAACTGCAGCTAAGTTATTAAATGTCTAAATGTAATATATATTCATATCAGCATGACTATCTAACATAGCTATAAGATTGAGTATAAATACTGTTATAAAATATATATATATATATATAATTAATGGTATTAAATACTTATATTATTGTATTGGTTGAGCCGTAAAATTAAATCTTATAAAATAAATTTTAGCTTTGGCTCGTCAGATTTTTAAGTTTATAAATTAGCCCTTTGGTTATTTTAAGTTGCCCATCCCTGATTGATATACAAATAAATGAACTCTATATATTATATTATACATATATCTATAAATTAACCATCTTAATAATATTATCATTATGCTAAAATGTAAATAAAAGTATTTTAACTTAAAGAAAAACATAAAAACATAAATATACACCTAGATACAAAATGAAAAAATTGAGATTTGTGCACGTAAATAATAATGTTATAAATATTTTTTCTTCTAAAATATATATTTAAGATACTTTGAACTACATTTTTTTCCCCAAATTAAACTTTGATCAAACTATACACAACTGTATTTTTATGTTTGCAATATAAATATATAAATTACTGATAAACACTTTACATCAGTCTTTTAATTTTTTCAAATATAATATACTTTCTTTTTATTAAAAACATATGCCATAATAGAATAAAAATAGTATTATCACTATGTAATAAAAAAGTCAAAATATGTATTAAATAACATGAAAAATTTAACAAAAATATAGATATTTCACATTGATTTTTAACTACTAATCGATAATTATTCATTTAATCGTCTTCATTGTCTTCTTCGAAACAATTGAGTACAACGTACATTAAGAGATTTTAAATTTTGAATGTATGACAGTAAGTCTCAAAATTAACTTATAGCAGCTGAAAGAGCATTTAACGACGACAGACGATAATGGGGAATATTTATATTTATTTTTTATTTATTATTATATATTTTTATTATATCAGATTGTGTTAAAACAATATCATTAGACGTATTTTCATTTTTATTCGGAAGTATTTCTAATAGTTTTATTTTTTTGTAAACCAACGTTATTACTGCGTACGTAAATTAATTAATTTTTCATTATAACTCCGGATTCTCCTTGAATTTCGTTTAATTTTTTTCTGAATTTTTCACAATCACAAGACATTTAATTCTTATTAGATTTGATGTTTCTAGTTGTTTTATTACTTTAACCGAGAAATAAAAATTTGTGAAAATATATACTAAATAATTTTTTAGGACCTAAAAATATAAATATAAATATAAAAATTTTAATATCAATAAATACTAAATAGGAATAAAATTTGAAAATATTTATAAAATATGTAAATATTGGTTAAATATTTAAAAATATAATTTTTTATCGAAATATGTGAAAATGTATAAAATAAAAAGTCACATTTTATTCAGGGTGTTATGAAATATGTTAAATATTTTAATCAGAAATGAGAAATTTTTACTCAATCAAATTATGTATTTGCATGAAAATCCGCGCCCTAATTATGACCATAATTTGGCTCTCCGTATATTATATAATTATAATTAAAATATTACCATAGTTGGATGACTAATAACTCACGTAAATATATTTCTCGTTGATAAAACATAAACTCTAAACCCATTTCTAATTTACGACTTAGACCATAGTTATTTATTATTACATCATGTTTGTTTTTAGCATGAAAATTGGCTGTGATTTGATTTATTTACTGTAATTTAAGTTTGAGATATAGTTAACCATATCTATATTATTATTTATATTTAATATTAAAATAATAATCTTAAAAAAGAAAATGTTATTGAAAACTTGATATCATTACCATTTGGGGACACGGACGTAACCTTTTTGGAGATAATGTGTAATTATTGTTGTTCACAAATGTTCATAAATGTTGAAATAAAAAATTTACAATTCACGAATAAATTAAAAGGATTGATAAATAGATTAAAATACTAAATAGATTTAAAAGGACGCCACACTCACATATGTAGTCTCCGTCCGACATACGTACAACATAGTAAATTTGCGTACAGTAATTCAAATGTAGGTAGTAATGTTAGCGTTAATATTAAAGTAAACATACCTATAATCAAAATTTAAGGAAAGATGTGATGTTTTTTTAGTTATAACATCCTGTTAAAATTCCAAATATCTATAACGTTGTAACTCCTCTTAAACCATACGAAAAACCCAATTATTGTGTTTATTAAACTCGTTAATTTAGTTATTGTGTTATAATACTGTTAATCGTTCAGAGTCCGTTACAAAATAGTACATTGTTTAATGAATACGAACTTCATACGATGACACACTACGTGCAATGAATATTAATATAAACATATAATATAAATACATTGTAAACTATCTATTATTCAGCTAAAAGCAAGGTGCCAAATTATTTTCACCCTCGATTGACGAGCATGTGAAAGGTATTAATGCAAAAGAAAGAAATCGTGAGGACTACCACTCAGTAATAATGACCTCAAGCAGGGTTGAGCACACAGTAATAATTAAAACCCGTGCTTGATTTGCCAAAATTAAAGAAAGGGGACTCTATTTACTTAAAAAAAATTGCGTCCCAAAACTTGTTAAGCGTTATAGTTATAACGTAATAATAGTAGGGGAACGCTAAAATTTCTAAAAATTAGAAGGGGTACTCCGTCCCCATGTGCCTCCCTTCAAGTCGAGCACTGATTAAAACACAAGTCACAAATACGATACCACATATCACTAGTCAAATTCTGAAGTATGGCAGTGATGAAGAAACGACAAAAAGGAATTCATACGAGATCGTGGTAGGCATGTATGTGGGTTCAGAACAGACCTATAATCAGATGTATTTTAGTCCGGTTAGAGTGAGCACATTCGCGCCAGTATGTTTTGTGAAATAATTATTTGTATTTGGAATATTTTTGAATGAATTATTTTGGACTTGGAATTATTTTAAAATTAAAAGTGTTTTTAACTTGGAATATTTATAATAAACAGTATTTAATTTAAATTTGAGTTAATGGGTGGCTGCTCTGATCAAACGTAACATGTACTATATAATTTATTGTAAACTGTTTTTATTATTAATATTAATTTGTTTTGATACCTTATATATATATTCTGTATCACATTTACTCATTGTGCCTAAGGTATAGATTGTAAATTTCTTTTAAAAATAAAAAAAATAAAAAAAATTTGAGTTTATATTTTAATAATCCTATTCCACCTAACAACTTCTATTCTGTAGATCTGACATTACACAACACATTATACAGATTATATAATTCATACATTGGACGGATTTCGATAACAACATTATATTGTATTAGTATCATAGGCGCACAGTAACTGGAGGCATGATCGAAAGCATTACAAAAACTACATAGAAAATAATATATTAAGTACTTAAACCGATCAAAATCAATTGTTGTTTAGAATTTATAACTCGAACACAATGTTCAAAATCGTCACTATTGTAACAATATTCAAATAACATGCGGTGAAAGCAAACCAGATACCACGGAACCGGGCTGACCGACGAAGGTCTCGGATGTCAGATTATTCATCTCCAGTGTTTATATTGCAATGGTAAAAATGATCCGTTGGTTACTGTAATTGGTATGCGACGCACATACGCACACCCCCTGAGTTCAACCACCGCATTGTTTCCATAACCAGAGCCGTCCTGAGGACCTTTTAAGGGCCCGAGACAAATTAATTCGGGGGCCCTTCAATCGTCACAATAATATGCGAGTATTTAATATATATATACACAAAGTTTGCAAAGACTTTTCACACTTCAACCATTCAAGATAACTTAAATGCATCGATATAAGGAATTACGTTTTTAATAACTTATAAACAATGTACAACCAATCAACACGTTTAACATAAATGTAATTTATTTATAAATGTATATTTATATCGAGTACTTCCAATCGACCTGGACTTAAAGAGGGCTCTCTTTAAATTTTCCTAGACCGGGGCCCGGGTCAAAATGGTTCAACCTCCCCGTTACGGAGAACAACACGTCGAGTTAACCCTTTGCCGACGGCGGGTTGTGCGCACGAGAGCGCTCTCTACACGACGAACCGTTCGAAGCTCGCGCGCGATCGTCGGTCCGGCTGCGTTGCTGTGTACGCGACGCTCTCGCCCCTGTCGCGGTCGCCGAAATCGATCAAAACGTCCCGGGCGGCGGCGTCGGCGGTCACCACGTTCGTGTACGCGATTAACCATCGGGACACGTAACCGCCACGGTCGGCGTCCGTAGTGTACCGTACCCGCCGCGACCGGACCATGCGCTCGTGTGCACCGGAACCGTTCGATACGCTATGAAATATTGAAACGGTGCGGTTCCGAGGGCACGTCCGCAATTATATCGTTCGACGACGACGGCGCAGTGCGATCGTCAACGCGGACCTGCCTTGGCGACACGGCGTACGTAAGTTCGGTCAGTTAGTGTTCCGACACATAGGCCGGGCCGGGAGGACTGAGAGAGAGAGAGGAGAAATCGAACGAAAGCTCGGCGTGAGCTTTTTTGTTGCCCTCGATTCGTGTAGCTCGCTGACCGAGTTTTTCGTCCGCCGTCCGTTCAACACCGTGCCCACGCCGCTGGACGTTGTCTGAAAACACGGCAATACATGATGTGGCGGTAAGTAACGATCACTACACGACGTGACCCCGAGACCGCGGTGGCCACCACTTAGTCGGTACCTACGTCGCAACCCGATTACCTGTTTGTTACGAGAGAAGCCCCTCGGTGACTATTCTATCGATCGACTGATTCGCTGCTCCAATCCAGTCACTATTATGAACATAATTATTGAAACCTACTCCACGTTCCGGGTTTTTATTTTTTTCGATTTCCTTGAACGTAACGAATGTCTATCACGGTTATTCCGTAACGATGTCCCGACGCGCTATAAAAAAATATCGTTTCAACCGATCTCGAACGGAAAATTATTAAAATAAAACCAAAAGCTTTCACAGCGTGCAATGACGTCTATAAAAACCGATGAAATCCTGTACCCTATTGTCGTTGTTTTATCAACACCGTTTTCAAGCACGATTTTACAACGGACTTGACAAAACGTACGCGTAAATATACGACAATTTTTCCCGGTACAAGTCGTACGCAACGGCTGTACACGTGCAATTGGTGCACACAGGCCGAGTCATAGATATCGGTGTTACCCCCTCCGCGCCCCCGTCCCCCGGCGAAACCGTGAAATCAACCGCGTCGCCCGTCACACGTATACGATTTCACGGCACGGTCGCTCAACGCAAAATTTATTGAGCCATCAGCGGCGCCGGAGATAAGAAGACCTCGACGCGAGCGTACGCGCATGCGCATGCGCGTGCCGCCGGTATTTGCGTTTCGGTAACGACAACAGTATTAATAGTGATAGCGGCTCGCTGACGCTACGTCGAGTCCGGGACGTTTCAAGACTGACGGCGACGTACAACTTACCCGCCTCCGCCGCCGTACGCCGAGATTTGTCCTCGCGCGTTTTCACGTAATCCGCACGTCACCGTTTTGCGCGCGTGTTCGTGCGTGCCATCGCGCGTGTACGTAATTGATAGTGCCGTCGGCGACAGCTCTTTGCGCAGTATTCTTCGCGGTGCAGAGTTGTTCGTACGCGTCCTCGCGCGTATCGTACCCGTACGGCGTTCTGGACATTATAAATCACGCGCTCACGGTTTCTTCATCGCAAATCCGTCCGCTGTGTTCTCGCACTCGTTTGTTCGACGACCACCGGTGCTGATAAATTCCTCAGGACCAACACACCAGTGATGTCCTATTACTGCTAGCTGTTCGTTCAAAACCATAACACGAGTGAGTAGTCACTGTGGTGCGTGCCCTACCGTCTGCCTTGGTACAGTGTTCCATCCGTACTGGCATCGTACTCTATTCAGCAGCCGCTTGACCTTGTCGCTTATGAATCAACGCGACGATTTATTTTTATTGATTTACCTATGCGTCACTGTGAAAAAGCTTTCTTAATAATCGGCCATTTCCATGTTTTACCAGTTTCAAGTCCTCTTGATAATCAATTTACTCATACAACATTATCGTTTGATTGATCAGAACAGTTTCTTTTTTATCGAAAAACAAAACAAGATAGTAATAAGAAGATAAAAATGCTGTGTATATATTTGAATCATATTTTTGTCATTGAAATATTCACTAACCCTTCAGTAAATACTGATCTTGCTATATGTACTCATAACTAAAGATAACATTTATATAATTAACAATATGTTATTTATAAGTCTTAGTTAGCAATGCAGCACATTATTAATTCTTCTTATCATTTTTAAAATATAATTATTAGGAATTTCTTACCAATGTGTACATTTTCTTATTTATTATTCATACACTTTAAGCTTTTATCTGATTCTTAATAATTTATACCACTTTGAAAAAAAAAAAAAGTTGATAAGATCTTAACAACAATTATTACTTACTATTACAGACTATTTGTATATATAGTCATTAGTATTAAAATTATATTCAGATATATATATATATATATAGGTTAGTATTATAGACTTTCAATTTTGATTAAATTCATTATTCAAAACATATTTTATGAAAATGTAGTATTTTTATTTATAGAAAGTTAATTATTGTAGTTAATAAAATGTAATCAATATGCCATAAATACTACATTTATACTACATTTCTCATATTAAAAATTCATAAATATTAAATTATATACTATAATATTATCTTAGATATTTAATTGATAGTTATAGTTACATAGTTAAAGAACCTTGATATACCAAGGCTCTCTAATTATAACTTAATACCTTATTGGTCTTTCTCTTTTACAAATTTTTTCTAAAGTTTTACTACCTCATTGTAGTATGTTCTATAAAATTGATAGTACCTATATGAAGTACTGTATCCAGAGGGAGCTTTCGGACTTAATACTTGAAGTATCATTTTTTTTTTTTTTTTTTTTTTTATTAATTATATGACATTGATTTGATAATATGTTTATTGTATAATATATGTATTAATTATATGAATTATATTTTTTGCAGTACAGTGCAAATTAAATTTTTTGACTTTGTTCATCAAAAATTAAGCCCCTCCTTCCCGGAAAAAAACTTTTGGCTACGGCACTGCCTATATAAAAAACAGACTTGTGAAATATTAAAATAAAAGTATTCAAGTCTTTTATTTTTTCTTATGCATTCTCTAAGTACAATTAATAAATATTTAATTAGCTTTACAATATTTATTTATTTTTAAATTAAATTAATTTTAAAATATTATATTTATGTATTTCATAATATTGATATGATTGTATTATAATCATTATTTTTAGTATAATTATTTTAATAAGTGTTTTGAATATTTCATACAAATAATCTTTAAATGTCTGTTATAAAGCTATATATATAGTATTTTGTATATTAAATTACTATACTTATACAAAACCTACATTTTATAGAACTAAAAACTGAACATTTATTTTAATTTTTTCAAATCCAAATTAATGAAACATAATACATAGTCTATAGAGATAAACAATAATAATATAGATTTTAATGTAAGTAATAATAAATTATTGTTCTATAGTCTATTCAGAATAAGAGTGCCCAGTCATTTAGACAAAAACTGGTTTTTACTGTGCATGTGTACTTCCACTAGTATGCCGACGCTTTACGACGCTGTTATACATTGTGAATTATATTACCACACTATTTTCGTAACACCACGCTGTAGTTCTATTTTGAATAAAATGGTTTTTTTTAATAATAATCTGTATACAAAGCAGCAATCACTGACTTTGATAAACAACAACGGCAGTCGAATAATGGCAAGGAATCATAGAGTGTCTAGATATCGACGGGTGTCCGACCATTATCGGTTTCTCAGTAGACATGGGCGAGTTTGGGCACTCTTAATCTGAACAGACTATAGTTTATGGTTTACTAGGTTTTACTGGTATTTCTAGCTAATGATTACCATATTCAATACAAAATATATTTTATCTCATATTACTTTTATATTCAATGATTGAACATAATAATATCAATGGTATATTGTATTATTTTCAGAGTAGATTTTTAAATTAGTATTAACCGAGATATTAATTATAATAAAATCCTATATCAAAATATTTAAGAAAAAGGAAAATGTGAATGAAGTTAGGAAGGGAATATAAAACTTGTATATGTATTGTCTGACTCAGCAGTTCCCATAATTTTTTGGTTCACATATCCCCTAAATTAAAAAAAGTAATTGTGTGAATAAATCAAATTTTTTTTATTATTTTAATAAAAGAAAATTATTTTCAATCAATAAATAAATATATGATAATATAATATAAAATATAAGTATTTGCCTCCATAGGAAACCATTGACCTAATTTTTGTACTAAAAAAATATTATTATTTTCATAATCATTATTTTTTTTTTTATAAAAATTAAAGTCCATAGTGATTATTAATACTGGCACTATCAACATAATATTAATGAAAGTAATTTATTGCAATGAGCAACTAAATATTTACCTTAAGAGTTTGTAAATTAAAATGTGATTATAATAAGTAAGTGTAAATTAGGTACTAATAATTTTTATAAGATCATTTATTTATCGTTTGATTATTTTATTTAAAATAACTTGCACCATAATCAAACAATAATGAAACTGGGTTTGGTTGATAATATACCATTAATGAGTTCTGTAAAATTAAATTAATTAAAAAGTACCTTCAGATTTATTAATGTATACTTATTATCAAAACAAACCTTTAAAAGTCTAAAGTATAATCATTAATTAGTTCTTGATTTTTATTTTAATGAAAATGTATTTTCTATATTATAAAGTAATTGTTACTCATTTAGTTTCATTTCAACTGTTCAAATCGATAAAATTATTACAATTTTCAAACAACATTTAAGTAAATCAGGTTAATAATTTTAATTTTTACTTGGATGAAATATTATAAATAATACTTACTTATACATTTTAATTATTTTTGATATTATTTACTTAGTAAATTTACGAGTAGTATTTACTTAGTGCTTTTATTTAAATAAATATTTTAGTTTTATAAGTATACAATAATGAGTAAACTATATTTATAATTGTTGTCAAATAATATATTTATACAGAATAAACTGAATTTTAACAACATTATCTTACTCTACATTAATGTTATAAAATTGTTATTGTTTGGGAAGTAAATTTTATTGCTTTTTAATAGTTCCTACAATATCATTAAAAATGGTCTTTATTGAATTAAATTTTTATTTGAAGCACCTTATAGTTTATTTAATTATTGTTAGTTTATTAATATAAATTGTCAACGACAATATTTGCTACTCTTAATTGTTTTTTAGTTTTATATTTATCTCTTATGTTTATATGTAACTTAAGTTTAATCAAAATTGAATGAAATGAATTTTTTTTTTTCAGAATGGAAAATACTTATTTATTGTCTGCTTTCAAGACAATTTCCTTTATATATGATGTTATAACATATCCAGTATATTTAATATTACAACAACCATGGAATAAAAAACAGAAATCTCAACGAATGAAAGTAAGATAGTTTTCTAAGTACATATTAAATATTTTATAAAGTGCCATAAATTAAATTTAAATTAATTAAGTTCTGTATTGATTTTTTTGAATAAAAATTGCCTTATTTTTAATTAAGTTATGCCTTTATTAAATTTCAATATACCACTACTTTTAACACAAATTAAATACAAGTGTTTTTTATCATTTCCTTTTTATTATGTAGGTATATATATATATATATATATCAAGTAATTGTTTGAAAATATTTTTTTATGATATATACTTACAGAATTTATATTTAAAGTTGTATACTTACATATTAATACACTTTCTTTAAAATTTATAACATTGAAGCATTACTAATCATAATCATTTTTATATTTTCCAGTCCAAAATTACCGTACTAGATGATAACACCATTCTTATTAAAACCTTAAGTACATTTTCACCTAATCATCTTGCTCTAGTCAAGGATAAAATAGATACATTATATAAAGTATTTCAATATTCTGTGAATAAATATTCAGAATCTCGTTGCCTTGGAACTAGAGAAGTACTAGCTGAAGAAGATGAAGTACAACCAAACGGGAGAATTTTCAAAAAAGTAAGCAAATGTATAAATTTTAAATGAAAAAATTCTCAAAAAGTAATAATTTTGTTCTATATTGCCTTGAAGTATGTTAAAAAAATGAAATAAAATCATTTTACTTGTTAAATGTATAATGTTAAATGTTTATTTTTGTTTATTTGGTTTTGTAGTATGTCATGGGAGATTACAAGTGGATGACATACAAAGATGTAGACAATGCATCTGATTATTTTGGTAATGCTTTAATTTCCCTTGGTCAAAAACACAAAGAAAATATAGCAATATTTGCTGAAACAAGGGCTGAATGGATGATATCTGTTCAAGGCTGTTTTAAACAAAATATACCTGGTAATTTGAACACATTGATTTTAAAGAACTGAATATTGATTTTTAGTTTAGTACATAAAATGTAAAAGAGGTAAATTGAGTAAGCAAATATATCTTTGTTAATTTCTCCATCAGTATTTAAGACTGATATTTCTAATCACTTTATAACATAAAAGTGTTCTAATTAATTAAAATTGTGTTAGGATTTAATTAAAACCTTAAAGAAATAAAAAATATAGAATAAAAATATTTATGTTGGGTTATTATTGTTATAGTCGTAACATTATATGCAACCCTTGGTGAAGAAGCGATAGCTCATGGAATAAATGAAACTGAGGTATCAATTGTCATTACTTCACATGACTTATTACCAAAGTTTAAAAATATTTTAAAACTTACTCCTCGAGTAAAAACATTGATTTACATGGAAGATCAATTGACCAAAACAAATACCAGTGGCTTTAAAGATGATGTAGAAATAATATCATTTAAATCTATTCTACAAAGAGGCTCTGAATACACAGTTACGGGTAATTGTTTAATTTATATATTTTTAATTAAAATAAAATAATTTTAAATTTTATGTTTCAGATAGAAATTTACCAATTCCAAGTGATATTGCAATTATTATGTATACTAGTGGTTCAACTGGTGTTCCCAAAGGTGTTAATTTAACTCATACGAATCTAATAGCAACACTTAAAGCCTTTAATGATGCTATTCAAATCGATCCTGAGGAAGATGTGTTTATGGGATATTTACCATTAGCACACGTTTTTGAACTTCTTGGTGGTAAAATAAAACATCTTTTAATACTAATATATAGAAAAATATAGTTTACAAATTTATATTTTTTCACATTTTTCATTTTCTCTACTATATGACTAATAAAATTTTAATAAGTGTTAAATTAAGATTTTCAAAGAATTCAAGACTCCTCTATAGGAGTTAGACCTTATCCAAAATATATATTTTACGTATTATTTAATCCTTATTTTTTTTATTATTATTTTTTACAAATAAATGATATTTTTTATTATTGTTTAATAAAATGTTTTTAAGTTATGCTAAAACATAAATTATTCTTAATTATGTTTCAGAACTAGCTTGTTTATTATGTGGAATTCGAATTGGATATTCTACACCATTGACCATGATAGATACTTCTAGCAAAATTAAACGTGGTACTAAAGGTGATGCATCCATATTGAAGCCAACTGTCATAACTGCTGTTCCTGTATGTATTTTATTACAATATACATTTTTAAAAAATAATATTTTCATTTGTATTATAAAGTATTCAATTTGTATGTTTTATATTTTAAAGCTTATACTTGATCGAATCTACAAAGGCATTAATGAAAAAGTTTCTAGTGGAACTACATTACAAAAAACATTGTTCAAATTTGCATTTGAATATAAGAAAAAATGGATAGAACGTGGATTTCAAACTCCATTATTGGATACGTTAGTAATTGTATTGATAATTTTACGATTAATTTGATATTATTTATTACATTAACATTTCAGGTTAGTTTTTAAAAAAACAAGTGCATTATTAGGTGGCCGTGTACGATTTATCTTATGTGGAGGTGCACCTCTTTCACCAGAAACGCATACACTTATTAAAATTTGTGTATGTGGAGTTGTTCAACAAGGTTATGGACTTACAGAAACTAGTTCATGTGGATCTGGCATGAGTCGTTAGTATACTTTTATTAAAATAAAAATCTTTTTATATTAATTGTTTCTTTTTAATAATATTTTGTTTTTAATGATGAAAACAGAAGATGACATGTCTACTGGTAGGGTCGGTGCTCCATTAACTGTAAATGATTTCATGTTGGTCAGTTGGGAAGAAGCTAGTTACAGGATAACTGATAAACCCTATCCTAGAGGCGAACTTATTATAGGTTAGTCTGAATGTACATAACTACTTGATTGTCTGTAATATAATTAAACTTATTTAGGTGGAGAAAACATATCTCCTGGATACTATAAAAATCCAGAAAAAACAAAAGAAGAATTTTTTGAAAGAGATGGACAATGGTGGTTTAAAACTGGTGATATTGGTCAGCTGGAATCTGATGGTTCCATAAAAATAATAGGTTTGTTAAAATTGTACAAACATTCAACATCACAATTTGAATACAGTACATAATAAATTATGTATAATATTGTTACAGATCGTAAAAAAGATTTAGTAAAATTGCAAGGAGGCGAATATGTTTCTTTAGGCAAAGTAGAATCACAACTCAAAACTTGTCCTGTGGTTGATAATATATGTATTTATGGAAGTTCATTCCACATGTACACAATTGCTTTGGTTGTACCTAATAGAAATCACTTGGTAGATATGGCTAGAAAGTTGAATATTGAAAATATCAATGAATTAAGTAGTGAAGAGTTGTTTTCAATTAAAATTCTACAGAAAGCTGTTTTAGACGAATTAGCTGCACATGGTAGAAAAAGTATGTTATTTTCTAGTATTTTCTTTTAATTATTTATATTGTAAAAATGTTTTATATTTGCTATTAATTTTAGATAAACTTGAAAGATTTGAAATACCCACAGCAATTATATTATGTATTGATGTTTGGACACCTGACAATAATCTAGTCACAGCTGCTTTCAAACTAAAACGAAGAGAAATTTATGCTAAATACAAAACTCAAATTGATAATTTGTATGAATCTTGATAAAATTTATACAGCGTTTATTAAACAATGAAGACCAAAATCACTAATTTTTTATACTACTTTTAGAGTATGTTTATTTTACCAAAAGCAATTATTTTATTTTATATTTCTAGTATTTAATAGTTATTCATTAATAAAGATTGTTATTAATTCTTGCAAATTTAATTTGGATTCAATATTTTGCTACCTATAATATTATAATGTTTCATTGGTATTTAATTGTTGTCAGTATTATGACTTCAATTTAGTTCAAGTTGATATTATCAGTGCAAAATTATTTTTTTAATCTATTTGTTTAAATCATCTATGGTAAATAACCTAAAGTAAAACTTTTATATTGTTTAATATAATTTTTTAATGTATTACAAATAATATATATGACTGGGTCATGATACTGTTAAGTCACTCATATAGCCATTTGTTTTTTAATTGATGACCTAATGAGAATTAAATTAATGAATTAATAATTACGTAATTCTTACTGGGCCAGCAAAAGGAGAATTTGCATTTATTCCAAGCATTCACACCGACTTGCTGTTTTCATTCAAACAGCATTAATTCCCTGTTAAAGTTTCTTTTGTGATTATCATTAATAAAGCTCAAGGTCAAACATTTAGGTTTTCTACTTATGTTGGTTAGGCATATGTAGGTCTACATTGACGTAGATCTTCGTTCAGAGTGCTTTTCACATTGCTAATTTTATCGAACTTCATTTTTCGATTTTCTCGAACTGGGGACCCGAATTATCTAATGATTTTGATTTCAACAGGAGATAGAACGAAAAACATTATACAGGTATAATTTATACTGTATACCAGTATACTCAGAAATTTTATAAAATTCTTATTATATCATTTGTAATCATCAGGCTCATTGTTATCAACAACAGATTAATTAGCATTTCTTTTGCATCTGTATTCATTTCTAATAAAAATATATTTAATACCGCTAGAAACATTTCAATACGTTTTCATTAACCGATTTTCATATTTACTTGCCGATCACATTAAACGATACAATTTGAATAAAAAATTCTACATATCATAGTCCTAAGGCAAAATAAACAACTACGCACAGGCGAAACTATAACGGATCAGCTAGTAACTGCATAATAGATAACTTATATCTAGAGTTTTAACAAAAAAAAAAAATTATTTATAATTGTATAAATGTTTAAAATATAAATACAAAGCATCAGATCTTTTTAAAGAAATATTTTTTAATTAATAAATCATACTACTTATTTAATAGACAGTGGAACACATAGATTTTACCAGTTAACTTTAACTATTCAAATTCTATATTTTTAATTAAAAAAATATTTGTATTATAACTACACTAGATGACACTATACATTTGACTTCTCATAAAAAATTTTACCTCTTATATAATTTAATATTCAATTTGTTATTGAATACTCTGTTTAATAGTGGTCAAACTAAATAAAAAATACAAAAAAATAAATTATTTAAGTTTAACTTTTATTCTAATTTTATTTTTAACACATAATTAATATATTTCACATTTCATCTTATATTTTGTGTTTAACTCATATTAAAATGTTTATTGATTTCCAATACAAGATGCTCATAAAAAGTATAACAATATGACCAATAATATATATTTTCAAACTACTGAAAATTTAATTAATTTATACTATGGATTTATTATAAGCTATATTTTATTTCTTTCCAACAGGAAAAGTGCAAAGCTAAAATTATTTAACTGCTTGGAGATCTAATTTTCTGTTTGTATAAACAGTGTACCTATATTCTTTCTAAGGCTGTTTCTACCCCTATCCTATCTCAATAATCACACTTCGCTTTACCACTACATGATTATATTGTTGATAGTCAATAGGTATTACTACCTTTACATAACAGATGAGATGTAAACCACATAATTTCAATTGTTGAACGGAAATAACTATATAAGTATTCAAAATGATTTAACTACTTTATTATTATAAATTATAATACCTGTAATAACTCAAAAAAGACAAAAAAAAAGGCATATAGTTGAATTTATCAGGTTAGGTTATTAACTTCTTCCTTGTTTAGATAAGGACTTTCAGGGTTATAAAGTTCCAAGAGCCAATCAGTGCAATTGAATAGCCTTTTAAATTAGATAAAATAGCACTTGTTCTGGGGAAAATGAGTCGATGAACCTATAACTATTGTAGAGATAGAGGTCGAAATTAATTTTGTAAAATAAATTTTACATTTTATATATTAAATGAAATCGTCATATTAGTATATATTATCCAAGATAAAATGATCTAATATCTAATTATTTACTTCAGTTTTGTTGGTATTAATACTATTGATGCATTCTTGTTTAGTTTGCACAGTTTTTTCAAATTCCTTTTGATTACGTAATATACAATTTTTTCTACGTTCTGAAAATAAAAAGTAATATTTAGTTATACTTTTAGATTTTCACTGTACAAGTATCTATTATTATTCACTAATAAATATTCATAATTTATTACTGAATAGCAAATTATCTAAACAATTTCTATTCAAGGTTTATCGACTCACTAGTATTGCTTATCGGCGCACAATACCGTTCTACGTTTGTCAGAGGACCATCAGGAATGAGTTCGCATATATATGGTAATTTTTTCGAGCAATCCTCTGTCTCCCAGTATCTGTCACTAGTGATAACCACGCAGTCTTTTTTCAGGCTTTCAGCCTTTGGGTGTCCTGGTGCCCACGCTCTATACGGCAAACATGTCAACGGTTCTCCTAGGCAATTTATGAATAATGATAAGATTATTATACAATACTAAATAAATACTGTTCATATAAATGATCTGCGGTGCAATAACTATAAATGTAGAACTAAGTACATAAACACAGAACATATATCCCATGAAATATAATATATGTACATTAGTTATAATTCATCTTCTTTGTTAAAAGAACTATTAAAAAAAGTAATATTAATATTTAAATTTAAACTATTGACTTAATATTTTGAATTTTATTTTCAGAAATGTTAATCATATTTTTGAATTGAAAATGAAAAATCGAAATTAAATCGAATTCACGCTAGTATTTTGCTTTTATTATTTTTTTTTTTTTTTACTTCATACAACTTGACCGAAAAGCCTAACAAAGGCTCTATTCGGTAGTTTATCAATTTAATCGTAATCTCAGATCATATTCTGTTTATGTATAAACTAAACTCGTAAGATTTCCAATTGGAATTGAAAAGTAATCGTAAAATGATTAACATCTTCTCTGGTGATTAACAAGTAAAATGTATTATGCGATAATCGTCAATATCTCAAGACGTTTATGTCATTATTACATTTTTCTCGAGACTCATTAGTATTTGTATTTAATTATATTTTGTGTGGTGCAACGGACAAATATAATATTACTATGGATTTAATTGCACGCAAATATTTGTTGTTCTAGACAAAAATGTCTGTACCTACATTTAAACAATGAAATGTCGCGTTAACGGGGGTTAATGTCATCAACATTGACCGTTTAAAATGAGTTTTCTTCGATTTACCTGTTAGTTAATTATGTATATGGCACCTATTCATCGTATTGAATTACAACGGACAAAAAACGACAAAATATTATCGTTTACATTTTTTTTTTTTTTTACACGGGTCGATTAATAATCGATGCCTCTCAATTCTAAAAAATACGAAACTGTAAACAATAATTTCGTACAATCACAATACCTAGAAGTGCCACACTAACCCGTGATGGTGACGAATTCGTTTTCGAAAAACAAACCGACGAAAGCTCTGCGAGCCGACGCGGTTTGGTTGGCCAGGGCTGAGGACACCAACGAGGCCAAAAACGACGTTCGCGGATCGGACACAACGTTAGCCAGATGGCCGCCAGCGTCTTCGCACGCAACCATGGCGTTTGAGTAGTTCAAGCGATCTATGATCATTTCGAACATGCCGATCCCTGGCGCACAAGTGTAGTTCTCGGTGGCTGCAATCAAACGCTCAATTACAATTACAAAAGGCCGGTAGGTTACAACTACGCACTGAAGCATTTAGGTGCATTTAGTTGTGATGCACAAATGTGTATGGGATTGATTCCAAGAATGTTAACTGCGCCCGAAATTGTTTTATCAAATGTAAAAGGGTGGCATCAACGTGTAAACTTAACCAGAATAAAACGTTAAACAGCAATAAATAATAAACAAAATTTCAAAATAATCTCTAATTTAAACTTGTGATGTTACTTATGAAATTTCTAAACTGCCCTCAAAGGTAAAATATACTAAACTGGTTAAAATGTTATCTCATGTCTCCCAAAAAAATATAATATCCCAGTCCCTGTATCTTTTATATTCTATTAATAATATAATATATATATATATAATCGTGGATACAAGTAGAGACGTAGAGTACACTATAATTATTATACTCACGCATTGGTTTCGAAAACATACTATAGTAATCGTATGCCGAAATGCTGGATGTCAACAGAAATGAATGGAACTCCGGACATTCGAAAACGTTGCATATGGAACTCAACGATATCTCCGCGTCTTATCATTCGACAGTAAAAGTATAAATTGTTTATAAAAAAATAATTTATCAATTAATTAATTAGGTACTAACAGTTATAAGACAACAGCTATAAGAGTCAATAAACCTTCAGTTTGGTTTGCATATGCAAAAGCGAATGCGTTTTTCGTCTTCGCTAATTGAATGCACGAGATCAATTCCGTTGTATTTGACGATGCCACAGTTCGCATTTTGGATATAGCACACTCCTTGGTCAGATGATAGCCGATTTCCGGTTTGCGCAGATATTGTGCACACGTTGACAGACCATGAATTTGCTTGTTGACAAACACGATGAGGGATAAAACCAAAAATAACAAATGCATGTTTAACTTGAAATAGATAAATGAAAAATAAAAGAAATAATTTTTATTGTTTTTAACTCCAGGATGTTTGACTAGTGAAAATCAACTGTGCTATCGGTCATACATGATCCTTGAGAAATTCTAATTTTGATTGTTCAAACAAGCTGTCAAATTATTTACTGGCCTAGCTTTGCTTGAGTGAATCTTATAATAACGTTTTTATATAATAGTAATAATAATATCCTAATTTATATTATTATGCATTAAAATACAATTATTGTTACAAAGTAGTTGTTTTCAAAATAAATCTGTAATTTAAACCATAACTTTATACATAACTCAAGCGTGATCATGGTTGATAAACAATAACCTTATACACAATATGTATATCTATTGTGATTTTAAGTAAATTCAAATAAGTACACATGCAAAATATAATTGGTTGCTTAATGATTTAAAACAGATGACCATTGACAATAAAACAATCAAAACAAGAATAAGTTAGACACAACAATAAACAGTGGAATTAAAAATGCAAGGCCACACCATCAATAACAACAACGGTTAAGTCATTCTATAATACATTATGAAAACTACTATGATTATTAATATTATAAGTATTATTATTTTTATTACAACAAATTTTCTAAAAAGCCTTTTTTTCTTTTCTATAAAAGCCTAAGTTAAAAATATTTATTAAATGCAAATTAAAAATCCTACTGTGTTTTATATTTACGTGTGGATAATTCTATGTGTTAATTTTCGACTTCCATTAAACCTCGATAGACAAAATTAAAATCGTCCTTTATGATAAAGGATTAGTAAGGAATACCAAATACTCATTCCCGAACAGTGAACTGACGTCATAAATCATAATAAAACGGCTTATTTATTATTATTATTATTATTATTATTATTATTATTATTATAAGTAACAAAAATAAAAAAAACAATGAAGTCTCGTTGGACATCTGGTATAATTTATTTTTATTGTATTATGAATAGAAACTTTGAAGTCCGATACAAATATAGATAGTAGGAATAGTAAATTATTATTCACACTAATTACTTTTATTTTTGAAAATATAATAAGCTGTAAGTTTGACTATGTTTGCCTAGAAGCAATACAAAAACTGTATATATATAATTTTGATTTTTATAATCAAGAATGGTAAATAACTGAACAAAATATTTTCTACAGTAATTAAAAGTACTGTCTACTAAAATTTTTTCAACAGAACAAAGAAATTTAAAATAGGTTTCACGATAAAATGCTATAATCTGAGTAAGTATCTATATCATCGATTAAAACAAATTGTTCAAAATGGATTGTATTTATGTTTATTAAATTTATAGTATCAAAAACTTCGTAAATATTTATAGGCAAAGATGGCAAAGTATATTTACGAGCATTATATACACTTCTTCTAATAAAATTAAGATAAATTATATTTAAACTATTTCATTAATAAAATTTTTAATTTTGATTAAAATAAACTTGTCAACTATATTTTTTACACAAATTTGTTTTTTTAAGGAAATTATTTACTTTTTGGTGATTGAGAGATGAATGTTTATCGTGATTTTAATTCAGAATTAAGTTTTTTCTGGTTATTTCGTTCTCGATATTATTTACTTATATTTTAATTCAACACTTATTATTGATGCAGCCCCATGTTTTTTGGCCACTTTTTGCAGTGTGATGCAAAACAATTTTAAAGTTATTTAATACTAAATTATTTTTACCATTTTGACTGTACATAAAATTCATTACAATTATTATGTCACAAAAATATTACTGTTTTGAACGATGAACGCGGAAAAAATACTCATATGGTCTATTTTCGTGTTTTTGTACGTTATCGTGTTCCAGAATCTTTGATACGAATCAAAAAAAAAAAAAAAAATAATAATATATATAATACGCCAAAATCCCAGATGTTTATACAAGTATAAATTAGTACTGCAGTGGATAAATTGTATGAGTACGCAGTTATGTAAATAATGAATATAATGAACAACCAAACAGATAAAATTAATATTATGAGTGCAATGCACTGTAACCAGCTCGATAATGACAGAGTGTCATATTATTTGACGGACTATCTATAAGTTTTTAACGTTTTTGTCATGTATAATAGCTTTAACCCATATCTAATAAAGGCTAGCGTAGGAGTTAATACGATATTTTATTGGTAGGTAAAAAGGGACTATGTATTTCCAATGTTTTAAATTCAGGTAAAAAGGTCATTCGTATAGGAGTAGGTATACATGCAGCTAAACCATATGCCCTCTTAACCCTTATTAGGGCTTTCGGTTTGGTACGTGTATGTTATTGATAAAGGCGTATACACGTAGTCCATTATTTAAATTATATATTGTGTTTAATACACGTGTATAAAAAATGCATCTACACATGTTTTACATATCAGGTCCAAAAGTTTTTATTAAATTTATTTTTAAAAAATCATAATATCGCTGTGAAATTCTAACATACCTTTTTTTTCTAATTATAATCCTAACGTACCTACACTATGTTAATTTTTTTTTTTAAGTTATATATTATATTATATTACCGAAAATTGTCATTTATAAATATAGGTGAACTCATTGTTGCATTTTTGTTAAAATCTTAAGCTTATGTATAAAGTTTTAATTGACGACTCATCAATCTTGAAGTAACTTTAAAAAGTACTAAATCATACATTTCAAAATGCGATGATAGCCTCATTATCGCAAATGTGACAATAACAAAAATTGGACGGAATTATTTTGAATAATTTAATTCACATATTATACATTGTCATTCAAGTATATAACACTATACGTATATATTCAAGTATATTATTTTGTTATTTATATTTAATAAAAAGTTAAGTACGAAAATATTCAAAATTTATGTATAATTGTTTTGATTTTATCATTTTTCGAAAAATTAATTTTATTTTTATATGTCGGTGGAATTTAATTTTTGAGTATCAAAATGTTAATTATTTTTAGTACAATACAATTCTCATTATACTTAATAATAATTGTTAAATATACTGTATGTCAATATTCGTATAGATAAATAAATATAAAATAAATAATAATATTATAATATTATGTATTGGTTTTCTTAAACAACATTAGAGAGACACCTGTGCTCCTTTGTCACCTAAACAAGGTGCATGAACTCTAAATACACGTGTACACTTGTATTTTAACTACACGAACTTGTTTCCGTAAACGAACATCGTTTCATAAAAACACGTACGTTTGTGTTCTTAGATACACGTGAAATAGAGACCTCTAATCCCTATTATTGCCTGTCAGTTCTAACGATACATATCAGTGGCGTAGCCAGAATTTTTCTGGGGGGGGGGCGCTGATTTATTTTTACACAGCGGTGGTTTAAATAGGTTCTTTCATAAGTTTAAAATGTGTATGCCAAAGTTATATTTTAGATTTTGGTTCAAATAACCCTTAACATATATATGTATATAATAACACTCTTTTATACTTTTAATACTTTGAATGTTGTATTTTATAGTGATATAAAATAAACTATTATTCACGTATTAGGTACTGTCGTATACGTCACGCAAAAGCTTGACGTATAGCAACACAAAAAGAATAATTTGTCGATTGTTGGACACTCTAACCGTCAAACAAGCACGTAAAGAAACACCTTATAACTAGCCCGGACGACTATCTCATTAAGTGACAAAGAATACAATCTAGCACTGCTTAATAGGATAGTCGAAAACAGGTTTTTTAAAAGGCTGGAAACAACTGACAAAGAATAAGATCTGGATGTTTCGAGCGTGAGGTAACCTTTACCTAACTATATTGTACTCTCCCCTCAAACTGACAAAGAATATGATCTAGCCCTGGATTAAAGTTTGAAATACAATATAGTTTTAATACCCTTTTTGTAAATGCTATAATTTCTCATATACTCGCACAAGTACGTAAAGTAGAAAAATTATTAAATACGAACACCTTTTATAATTATATTTAAAATCTTTTAATTTAAGACAACGAAAAATATTTATTAATACAAAAAAATACAAATAATGACCGATTACTTGATTCGTAAATCAGGCAGCGTTTTGTCCTCCACACAGGCACGTAGCTAAGGGGGGGCAGGGTGTGCTTGGCCCACCCTATCATGAGTCCGGCCGTAAGCCGGCCCACCCAAAGTATTCAGAGGCCTATTATTATATGGTGGCTTTTAGTTTTAATGACATTTTTAATATTGTTTAAATATTACACAAATAAAACCAAATATATCGGATTTTAATTAGAATCTAAAATAAGTTACGTTATTAAATTCAATCCATGTCTATTTCTGAAATAAAATATGTATATTGTATTACATTTAAATTCTGTTGCTACCAAGAAACGGTGATAACTTATTTTTAAGCCGTGGTTTCCTACAACCACGCATCTGTGATTGCGTGGTGCGCGATTCGTGATGCGTGATCACGCAAAAGTTGAAACCATGAAAAATTGTATTGATGTTTATGAATAATTCACGCGCGCAATTGTCGAATCACTCAAGTCAATCGCGCAGCAGTCGCCACAAAGGCAACTTTTGTGTGAAACGCAGTGCGGGATTAAATTATTTTATACATTATTAAAATATTTTTCAATATATATTTTAGTATATGTTTTATTTAATTTTTATTACTAATTAAAGTACTGAAACATCCCTCCCTACTCCGTTGACTAAACATTTCATGATTTCCATTACGGAAATTATTCGCAAGTAGCAATAGTTCTTCATCTGCTTCATATTCCAAAATTGTATAGAGCATAACCACGTCCATTTTGATGTACTACTAAACATCAACTGACTAAAATTTTCTACTCCAAACCACGTAGTCGTAAACACGCATTGTAGCAAAACACTTCCATTACGCATCACACAAGCGTGATCGTGCAAATGCGCATCGCGCACCACGCAATCACGGATGCGTGGTTGTAGGAAACCACGGCTTTATAAGTCATAATATCGTCAACGATTGATTAGGAAA